AGAAGAGGCGTGCCGCTCAAACACCTCGCCAGACTGGGGATTAAGAAAGCCCTGGCGGTTTAGGGGTTTAGGGTCCGATCTCACTCCCTTTCATGCTTTCTCAACATGCCTCAATGATGCGGCGACGGCAGTCCCGCCAACAGTTAACATAATACTGACGAAATTCAAGGCATCTCGGCAGAAATGCCTACGAAGGGTGATACCTGGTAGCTTTTATGTCGAGGACATTTGACTTGTACGGTGACAGCAGTGTTCCACGTCAGCAGCATTAGCAGTTGCAGCCGCTGCGGGACCAACAACAGCACCACTACCGCCACCACCACCAACAGCAACAAGAGCAGCCACAGTAACAACAAACAATGCGACTGTGCAGGACATGCTTTGTCGTCCTACTGTACTTTCCAGGCCCGACGCATAGGTGAAACTGTGAACCCCTCATGCCAACACGCAGCCTCGTGTCGCATGATGCTCATCCTCACTGCCCTGCCATGGGGATTTCACATGACTATTGGTCAAAAAGTCTCAGGGATTAGGGTGTGCAGGGCGGCTCACAGCTAGGGTTTAGGTACGGGGTGCAGGGGCGTTCAAGCAGGGAAGTGGCAAGCGAATGCTGCTGAGTGTGGTTCGGTACAGAACCGCTTTAGTGCCGAAATCCAGTTTATGCGCGATATCTGGAAAAGTTCAGGATTAAGGCTCAATCGGTCAACGTCCTTGTGTTATTCTGCAGAAATAGTGAATCTTATTAATAATAACAAAGAGGCATGAAGGAAGTACAGCCCAAAACCAACAAAGCAAAGCATGAAATCTGGTTAAACCGAATTCACACAGCCGGTCTGGCGCGTCATCAGCTGGGACGTCGAGAAATGTGCATTCGCCAAACCTTCGGTTTGCACTTGCGGAGCTTGCAGGTAGGCTACAAGGATTCCTGTAGAGGGGTCCCTATGATAGAACCGTATAGTACCCTTAACAGGTGAGGGGGGTAGGGCTTTATGGTTTAGGTTTTCGGGTTTAGGGCCAGGGGTTTGGTATTTAGGTTTCAGGGTTTAGAGGTTTAGGGGTCAGGTTTTCGAGTCTGAGCGTTTCCACTGGTCTCCAACTCTCCCCGCACGTCTACACTGGCGTTTCTTGAGCGAATTTCGGTAAAACAGTTTCATGAAGGCTGACATGCCTGAAGCTCTGCTGGGTATTCTAGATTTCTAGCCGCTTTGCAATGCAGGTGCGTACGGCAGTACTCTCATGGCCCGCCCGCCACCGTAGCAGAAAACAAAGCAAAACCACATCTTTGACACAACACTGCTGCATTAAGGCGGTCGCAATATCGCGAATCATTTCAGGATCCCCAGGTGCTCTCGACAAGGGCCTTGCTCGCTCGAAGAGGGTTTTGGGGATTGTTACACTAGGATCGATATGAGGATTATAAGAGGATGCTATTAAAAAGTTGTCCAGACCCCAAGCTTCAACCTTAAACCTGGCCAAGCGGCCACAGACGGAGTCGTCACAGCAGATCCGAGTTTGAGAGATTGCTGCTGAGCTGCGGAATGCAGCTGAACAGATCTTAGGCTGGGTGGGATCTCCGATTTAGAACTCTTTGTATAATGCGATTAGCAGGCGGTATTTTAGGCTTGCCAAGCTCCTGCAAGCTCCGCGAATAGTTATTCTATAGTTTATAGACTGAAGAAAGTCTCATAGAGTTCGATAGGGAATTTCAGGGCCCTGATAGGGCTTTACACGGAAATAAGAGGTTCCCCAATACCTTCAACCCACATAATTATAGAGCTTCCCAAGCAGGTAATGGGTTCTATTAGGTTCCGATTGAAAAAACACTCTTCTGTGTTGGAAACCCGTTGAGCCTCGACGGAAGACCCGTACTGAGGGTTGGATAAGCAGACGGTTTTATGGGCCCTGAGTGAGTATATCTAACCATCTAACCCCAATTTAGCTAGACTGACTACGAGCGACTCCTACCCATGCTTCCAATTCAAGCTACCCCTGAACCTGCAAGTGGATAAAAACCCAGGTGCCCCACTACACTTGGCAGCTCTCCAGCAGTCTTCAATGGTTGCTGAACCTACCGGAAGTGCACTGGTGCATTGCACCAGTCAGATGCATTGTGTCATGCAGCAAACTTTGCAGGAACTCCTGAAGCAGCGACGCATTCAAATCTCGGATGGCTGCGGTGGCGCATTTGCAGGGTTTCGGTTCAGGGTTTGGCATACGTAGTGCACACATCCTGCACGTAGGAAGCGGGTACCACAGCAACCCGGCGCCGAGCCGCTCAGCGAGCATCCCGCCACTAGGTCACATGCCGTTCGGCGAGTGACCTGCCCGTCTGGGATGTATTTTTCTATCAGTCCCTGGACCCTGAACATCTGAAAGCCTGCAGGTTTTGGACCAGTCAAACACCCGAAGAATGCAATTATGAGGTTTCAGAGAGGCTTCAGTGATTCCACAGAGGTCCACCAGAGAAACCCGCAGCCATGCTGCTAGGGAAGATGTCGGAAACGAAGTTGTCGCGCGGAACCAACCCTATAAATCCAAAGCCGTCAACGTTTAACCCATGAGCCCGCAATCCACGCAAGCAGAGCCTACATCGATAATTGCAACTCCCACTTTGACCTAGTATGGGAAACCCCAATAGTTACAATGGAGCTTCAGGGAGTATTCTACTTTAACCCGACATGTAATCTATAGGCCCGAGTAGTGTCCAACACGATTCCTGGCAGCTCCTTATTCAAACTACTATGTTATGCCTCCAAACCCTACTGAAAAAACGAAAACCCCTTTGTATAAAACTTACACAGCAGTGAAAGTATACCCTGTAGAACCCTTACACAAACCCTATAAATCCCTTTTCCAACTATCAAGGTTCCCATATAACACGAGAAAACCAGATTTGTTGCCGCTCCCGAGCTGAAAAGGCTTCGGGTTGACTGTAGGGTAGGCTTAGGGTTTAGTGTTTAGGGCTTAGGTTTGGGATTTAGTGTCCGGGGCTTAGGGTTTAGGGTTCAAGGTCTAGTGTCTAGGGCTTAGGGTTTAGGGCCTAGTTTAGGCTTCGGGTTTTGGGCTTAGGGAATTGAGTTTAGGGCTTAGGGTTTTCGGTTGACAGCTTTCCGGTCCGAACCCAAATAAACAATTAGAGTCGGATTCGTTACAAAGAGTTTCGGATATGCTCTTCGGGCTCTTCGGGTATCTTATAGGGGCCTTAATAATTACCAATAAGAATTTTGACATACTCGTGCATAGCTCGTGTAGCGACGATCAACGACCGGTATGTAGTATTCAGACCTCCCTACCTTAACCAATGTACCTTAAACAAAGTACATGTACTATTTTTTGGGGGGGGTCATATCCCTTGTTTAACACTACCTCAGCTACTCTGGGTCCACACAGAGCCCTGGAGCCCCAGGCCGTAGCTAACTGCCAAACCCTTGCAGCTTGACAGTCTAATCCCTCGACAGGGTGCAACAAGGGGCCAGCCTGAAAAATCGTGCGGCTTAGTAAGTCACTTAGAGTGCATATCAGAGTGCATATCTGGAGCTACCAGTACCTGCATCGGAGATGTCCTGTTAAGTGTAGCCTGATTTCTGCAGAGCACCAGGCCTTGCTACCCTAACTCGAGTGCCGGGTGTAGGATACAACCATGTGCGTGGTTTGTCAACCCTAAAGCGCAAAATACGGTTGAGCTTGCATGGTTCGGAGAAATAAATACGTGCGCTCTCTGCTTCTGCGGGGTTGACAGGATTCACAGCCTCTGCTAGCCACAGGTGTATGTTTAGGAATTCAGGGCTTAGGGATTGCATAATGGCACCGTGAACTACAAACGCATGTCGAATTTTTCGTGACGACTGCGGACTTAGACTGAGCACCCACTGCGGTTCATGCAAGATTTCCCAACCAGAAGAGCGCTGAACCATATACCCCAAAGCCGTACACCCTGAGCTAGAAGGACCCAGCGAGTTCACAGCACTTTGGCTCGGTGATCGCCAGAGAACATGAGACGCCGGAGATGCTCGCCCTGTAAAATACGCTTCTTTTATCTTCTCAGGCCATGTATTATACCATAGCGTTCACACTCTGCCCATGCTTCATTCTCATGTCCTGTAGGTTCTCGGAAAAAACACATACTGGCTGATTCGCTACCAAGCAGAAGTGTGCATACATGCCTACTCTGCATCTGCCAACCCGTCTCCCTGTCCCTCCTGTTCTCTCCCTCTCTCTCTCTCTCTCTTTCTGTCTCTCTCTTTTTCTCTCTCTCTCTCTCTCTCTCTCTCTCTGGCTCTCTCTCTCTCTCTCTCTCTCTCTCGCTCTCTCTCTCTCTGTCTCGCTCTCTCTTTCTCTCTAGCTATCTGTATATACATATACACACACACACACACACTTGTCTTATGTACGTAATTCATTATTGTTCATACCTACACACATACATACATGCACAGAAGGGTTACTGATTCCTTGATCGCTACGGACAAGTGCAAGCATCTTTCCCAACGCCTGACTGGCATTGCAGCGCATCCCAGGGTTCAAGGGGCAACGAGGCTTGCCCAACGCCCCAAAATACAAGGCGCCAGCCCCCAACCCCAAACTCTTGGGAAACACTGGGCTTTCTTGGGGTTTAGGGTGTACTTGGAGGTTCACGGGTAGGGTAGTTATAAGTGGAGTTATAAGTCCCCTAATATGGGTTATATCTATAGTTACTCTACTTACAACCCCACTTATACCTACCCATGAACCTCCAAGTAGGGCGTAAGGTTGAGGAATTAAGGCTCACTCCCGGCCCCTCAGTCCCGAACCCTATGGGGCAGCCGCCAAAAGTAGGCCTACGGTCAAGGTGCGGTAGGCAGATGCGTCGAGAAACACCGAAGCTGGCTGAGATATGTGGAATGTAGCGGAGTCTCATACCCAGGTCCCAAAAAGCTCAAGCTTTCAATAGCGACCGAACATAATCATACAAATCACAGGCCACCGGCCTTGACGCATCTGCCGCAGCACCGGTCGAACACTCACTTCGCCTCTAACTTCTTTTTCTGCTCCAGGAAGACCATCAGCAGCCCACGCGCATCCCTGGAGTGACACGCACAAGCCCGGACCCTCTGAAGTCGTAACATGGGGCTTAGGGTTTAGGGGTTTAGGGTTTAGGGGTTTAGGGTTTTAGGGTTTAGGGTTTAGGGTTTTAGGGTTTAGGGTTTAGGGTTTAGGGTTTAGGGTTTAGGGCTCTGAATTCGTAACATGGGGCCTTCATAATCAGACTAGGGTAGTCAGAAGAGGGTTGTGGGGTATAGTATGATACAGTACAGTATAGCATGGTATAATATACTCATGGGCTACACCGGGACAAGGCTAAGCCCTTAACCCTAAATTTCTGAATCCCTAAACTCCTAAACCCTAAGCTCCTAAACACTAAACCCTAAACCCTAAACTCGTAAACACTGAACCCTAAACCCGAAACCCTAAACCCTGAACCCTAAACCCTGAACCTGCATAGTCGGAGTGGTGGGCTCTGGTTTTGGAGGACAGGTCTCCCGGTCTTTCCTGCATGAAAGGATTCCCTTTTACAGCCTAGGTTTTTTGTTGAGGTTTAGGGTTTAGAGTTTAGGGTTTGGGGTTTAGGGCTCAGGGTTTAGGAATATGTGCATGGGCTGGCTTAGGGTTTAGGCTTCAGGAATACCTGAACGAACCGGTGGCCCTTAAACTTAAACTGGAAGTGACCCTGAAAAGAACCCTAAATCCTGAACTCCTGCACCCTATATAGCCCTTTTGCCTTGCAATGCCCCCTCAACCCCGAATCCCTGAACCCGCAACCCTTGCGAGGGTAGTCCTCAGTTCTTCAACAACCGGGCCAACACAAGTTCAACCGTTCCAAGATAGACCAAACACAAAGCCTAAAAGATTAGAGTTCTCGCACTGGCTACCTCAGAGTTCATCAGAGGCAAGACGAGCAGCACGCATATGGGTTTTCTCGGTTTAGGATCGGGGTTCCCGGTGTAATGTGGGGCCTGAGTAATCAGAATAGGGGTTGGGGATATATTGCACTAAAACTGTAATAAGGACCCCCCCACCAAACTCTGTTAAGATGATGAAGGCCCCTACATTACGGGATCTTTGAAGGGCCTTTAAATTAAGGTTCGATGAAGGCCCCACGAGGGCACCTTGACCGGATGTGGGGGATTCAAGGCATGGGGCTCGAGTATTGCAGGGGCCCGAATAATTAGAAATGGGGTTTGGGCGCCATTATACTACAATCATAGTAAGGAGTCCCCAAAATAGTATTGGTCATTTCTTAGGCCCCTGTATTATTCTATGAAGCAACCAGGGCTTCAAGAACTTTCGAGCATTTGGGGGGTTTGGGCAGATGTTGACCATGTGGCCAGCTACCGACCTGAACTCAAATCCGGACACTGAACTACTCATAGGGATCCTTAGGGGTGTAGGGGGGAGGGGTGTAGGGGACTATATTTCCTTAAATAGGCCTTACTAGTCCTTATTATGGGCATTAAGGCCCCCTACCCCCCCTCCCCTTACACCCCTAAGGATCCCTATGAACTACTTGAACAGAAGAACCTGAACCACACGCACACGGCTTCAGCAAGAGCCGGGTGACATGTTGGAGACATCCGTTTCGCCGACAGTTTGAATGCTCCAGCCAACCTCCATAAGAGTGGCGCGTTCTGAAAGCTCTGCAACCCTAAACCTCCAGCACGCCTTTCCTAAACACTAAACAATGCCCCGAAAGCCGAACAGGAACTCCACAAAGCAAGAAGGGATGTTACACTTCGTCGCGAAATCCTTCTGGATCATGATGCTTCCATACTCTGGCTTCTTCAACTTCCCTGGGATCAAGCGCAGGCCCTACGCATCCCCAAACCCTCTGGGGCTAGGGGTGTTGTGAGTTTTTGGCGAACAGGTTCAAGCTACCCTGCAAGCCCTGACTCTCAAAACAGAGCAACCTGAACGTCTATGTCTTTAATGCATAGCAGAGGAAGTCTGTACATGTGTTACTGTTAATGGGTATCGTCGCTGAGATGCTTACGAAAGCTTTAGGTCGGTGGGGATGTGGCCAGTCATGCAGATTTCGGAGTGAGAAAATTGAAGTCAAAAGCATAAACTATAAACCCTCACAAAAGTGGCACAGCCAGGTCTGCAAGACTGCATCACGAACGGCACCTAAACCCCCCAAAGGCCCCTCCCAAACTCCGCTGGAAGTCTCGAAATCAACGACCAGTACAACATGGACTTTACATATACCAACAGTATCTGTATCAGCTGGATCCGATAGAGAGGGACCTGAATTTGTGAAACCACGCTCCCAATTGTCGAACGCCTGCACTCCCAGATCCTCTGCATGACTGCCCGGTCGCACATTCCTGCTGCAGGTCAGATCGAGATTGAACAACGCTTTAGTTATGAACTACTTAGACACGTAATCAAAAGGAAAGGCAATTTGAACTGGATATAACCAGGACAGTCTTACATGCGGGACGTTTAATATCAGGTACGACTGACTTCCTAAGTCCCTAGACTCGTCTAGTCGGTTCTAAACTAAACCCTAAACCCGTAAACACTAAACCTCTAAACGCAAACACCCGAAACCGGATAAACTTCTAGCAACAACGCTTGAAACCCCCGACAGCCCTTCCAGACCGTTCTTGGGGCTCAATCTCGACACGCTCGACCCTGACTGCGTCAGCTACTGCTAGGGTTTTTGTGATTAGAATAGGGTTTTGGGGTTCCTTGTTATAGAATTCGTATCATATACCCCTATAAACCCTATTCTGATTTCTAAGTCCCCTACATTAGTGCGGGTAAACTAGAAGCACAGGAGACCCAAGCATCCTAGAATTTAGAGGGTTGCAGGTTGTAGGGCTAGCAAGACTTAAACCCGAACAACCCCGTAATGCAGGGGCCTTAATAATCAGAATAGGGTTTGGGGGTATATTATACTAAAACAGTAATTAGGAACCCCCCCCCAAAAAAAAAACTCTTCTAATTGTTGAGGCACCTACATTCTAGCACCCTACTATAGATCCCTTGTAGACCCCCTTTTAAGGACTGTAAGGACCCCTTTAAAGGGAAGCCTAGTCTACTGATGAAGGCCCCTGAACCCTAAACCCTAAACCCTAAATCCCTACACCCTAAAACCCTACACCCTAAACCCCTAAACCCTAAACTGAAGTGGTAAGTTTCAGGGCGAGGCCTCACGCTGATGGGCTTGGTCTTGTTGAGGTCGAAACCAAACGGAAAGGTGAGGAAGTAGACGTCCTGAGTTGAGGTGGGGTTTGGGGTTTAGGGTTTAGGGTCCGTGGAGTCTCTATAGTCCTTAACAGTGGGTATTTAAGGTATACTAGAGGTTAGTTGGGGGTGCTGGTGAGGTTGCATTGTCTTGGGTAGGTTGAGCGCTGATAGATTTGATTGCTCCAACAGCCGTGCCTTTCCTAACACCTCCCCTAAGACAGCATATTCGGAACTTGCCGTGAGAATAATTACCTGTCACAATAGTATAGATAGAACTCGGCTTTCGAAGGTAAATGTCTGTGGTTAGGCAAACATCCAGTGCAAACGCACGCTTGCTATGAGTTGGCAGGGAGAGTGCTTCAATCCTGCCGAGGTGCTTGCAGAGTACCATCCGGAAGCTTGAACTGAACCGTAACATAGGGCACATCTAGGTCTGCCTCGTCAAATACGGGTTCTGCATCGGCAGCGGCCGAAGTTTCGGCAGGCGCTGCCGGCTTCGCAAGAGTCGCTGCGGCCGCTACTGTTGTAGTCGCTGCGGGTGGGGCGGGTGGAGCCTTTGCCACTGGTTTCTCCTGCTTGGGTGCAGGGGTCTCCGGGATGGCTGTCTGGGGCACATCGACCTTGCCTGCCTGCACGGGCTTGGTGGTCTCTGCAGGTGCATCAACCGGCGCTTGCCGTGTGGGAGGCTGCGCCGCCTCGGGAATCGCTGCTGTGAGAGATTAGGTATACTACCATGTGGCTATCGCACGCAGAGGTTTGAACTGACACACCGACAGTCCCAGCACTTTGCTCATCAGAGCTGCCCCATCCCCGAATCTCTGTCTCTCTCTCTCTCTCTCTCTCTCTCTCTCTCTCTCTCACACTCTCACACTCTCACGCTTTCACACTCTCAGACTCTCCCACTCCCTCCCTCTCACACTCTCACTCTCGCGCTTACTCTCGTCCTCACTCTGCCTCGCGCGCTCGCTCTTGCCCTCTCCGTCGTGCTCTCGCTCCATTTATGCACTAATAAGATGCAACCAAAAGAAACACATAAAACTCGCTGTCATGCACTGGTGGCTTCAGGCAAGGTGCCGGCACCTGCTTCGGGGAAGCTGCCGCCACTTGTGGTGCAGGGGCTTTCGCCGGAGCACTTTCTTGCAAAAGCTCTTTGACCTCGGGTTTGGGTGCAGTGATCAAACTTCTACAGATCAAGGCTACAATTCCGAATAGCAAGATGTGGTTGTCCAGTTGCCCTCGCTAAGAAGAGATCCATGTCAAGCCCAAAGAGTCCAAGCAACCGCTTAGCTTTTCCATTTAGGGTACTAAGTACCTACTATACTGGTACTTGGATCCTTCTCAAGCACAGGGAAATCTACCGGCGTTGGGGCATCTTGACGGCATTGGGGACGAAGCAAAATGGTGCACAGCGGACGGCAGCCACGCCATGATGTATTGATCGCGGTCCCCGTGCACAAGACTCACCCCAAACTCCCAAACAGCTAAACCCCTAAATCCCTAAAAATCCGAAACCCCCAAACTCCTAAACCCTAAAACAGCAAAACCCCTAACACTCAACGATGCTTTCAACTGGCACAGCCCCTCCGCCTCGAAGTTGCTCCAGTGAGAACCTACTGTGACCCTACAACGCCTCATTTTTGTCAGCGCTTCTGGTTTTAATGTTAGGGTTTAGGGTTTAAATTAGGCTACCTCGTTTTTGCTAGGGTTTAGGGTTTGAAGTAGGCTGCCTCATTTTTCTTACAATAGCATCCGGAACCTCGGGCATCTGCCAAAAACTCAACAGCTTGCAGGGTCTGGATGGGTTCCTGCAACTGAAGCTGCGAACCAGTTGCCCCACGCAAAACCTATGACCAGGTTGCCGTATCATCACGCACGAACTGGGGCTTAGATATTAGGGCTTAGGGTGCTTAGGGTTTGTAGTGCTTTGTGGAGTGACCCCGCAGAACGTCACAGGTTGTAGTCCAAGGTTGAACTCCGAATCTAAACTTCTCAAACTCACACGCCAAGTCCGTAAACCCAAGCCTTCACTTAACCCTAGATACACATGCACTGCCCAGAGGCTCATACCCTGCCCCTTCTTTAGGATCCCTCGCTTTATGGTCAGGATCTGTTTTGTAGAAAAGTAATTACATACCTGAAGCCAAGGCTTCTGAACCCGTGACACTCTCGTCAACAAATGGGACTTTCAGGAAATTGGGGGGGGGGGGCATCTTAGTTTGGAGTCCTTTTAATAAGGAGCCTACTGTTTTGGGTGCCATATTAGGGTCCCCTAATTTTCGGAAATCCCCAAACCTAAGACCTACCCCTTAAAGCGTCCCCCAATTTTTGGAAACTCCCAAAGAGGCTTGAAAAGCCAGGCCACCGAGACCCGCTTCGTGCCTGTGGGCTGTGATGTACCCGGTGGAGCCTGCCCAGACTCTAGGGTTTCGGGTTTAGGGTTTAGGGTTTAGGGTTTAGGGTTTAGGGTTTAGGGTTTAGACGTTTCTTTTGTTCATATGCAATGCCCGTTTCCTTGCTCGTCCAAGGGTCCGCCCCGGTACGAGGCTTGCACAAAATGGAGTGCTTATTTTCATCAAGAGTTTAGGGTTTATGGCCGGGTTTAGGGTTCCAGACTAAAAATTGAATACGCCCAAACCCTGAAAGCCCCAAAACCCAGAAAGCTAAGCCCCAAAGACGACTGTAGTCTATAGTCCTATACACCAGAACCCAAATCCCTGAAACTCTACGATCCCCTCCAAAATACAGATAAAGTTTCTTACTTAAGAGATTCAAGGTTCGAAGGCTTAGGCCCATCTCAGTTTGTGACACACGCATTGGGAGTTTGCCGCAACATACGCGATAGAGTGCTAGTAGGCGTCGTAACTACTACACTGTTCGCCTACAGCATCTAACCTCGTGGAACATAGTGCAGAACCCGTCTCCACCTGTTCCCTGCACTTTCGGGCGCAGAGCACGGACTCTCACACGGAAGCGAGGGAGATAAGAACCTTTTCCGTTGAACGGCTCAGGCTGTCAGGGTAGAGAGGGCTTCCAAGCTGCTATGGGCACAGCGAACATTACAATCTAGGCAACTGCACGTTCGAAACAGCTCATCAGAATCCAAAGGAATACTACACACAGAGTCAAGAAACGCAGAAGTAAGGATAAGGTGCATCGCAGACACCGTAAACACACTAACAGAAATTCTACCATCAGAAGCAAAAACAACGACAGCACTGACAATCCTCATCACACGAATCGGATCCGTAACAAGATCGGTAACTGTAGTGGTAGCAGTAGCATTCGTCGTCGTCATCATCGTCGCAGTGGTAGCCTTAAGTGGTAAGTAAGTGGTAGTGGTAGTGGAAGCCATGGCAGTAGCAGTAGCGCAGTACAGCACCAGTAGCAGTAACAGTGGTGGTGGTGGTGGTGGTGGTGGTGGTGGTGGTGGTGGTCGCGGTGGTCGTCGTAGCACTACTTGAGAAAAAGTAGGACTAGGAGCAGCACCAGTAGTAGTAGTCGTCTTTGTAGTAGCAGTAGCACTAGCAGCCGCAGGTACTGCTAGAACTAGAATTAGTGCCTCGTGGTAGTGGCAGCAGCAGCAGCAGCAGCAGCAGCAGCAGTACTAGTAGTAGTAGTAGTAGTAGTAGTAGTAGTAGTAGTAGTAGTAGTAGTAGTAGTAGCAGTAGTAGTAGTAGTAGTAGTAGTAGTAGCAGTAGTAGTGGTAGTAGTGGTGGTGGTAGTGGTAGTCGTAGTGGTAGTTGTAGCGGGAGTGGTAGAATTAGTGCCTCGCGGTACTCAAGTAGTAGTAGTCGTCGTAGGTGGTGGTGGCAACAGTATGGCGAGACTCATAACAATCATGGCTATCATACTCACGAAACCCTAAACCCTAAACCCCTACAACGCCTCAACACTTGAGGAGCGAACCCTTTCAGATGAGAAGAGTTCCCTAACAGCAAACACGTAGGGCTTAGGCGTGTAGCGGTGTAATATGGCGGCCTAAATTTTTGAATAGGGTTTGGGGGCCATTATTAATACTATAATTACCATCAGGAACACCCCCCCTCCCCCCAAAAAAAAGCATTGGTAATGATCCAGGCCCCTGCACTATGTAGGGGTGTAGCGGTGCATGGTTCACCCGCCTCTGCCTCCTTGGCAGCGCCTTTCCTCGGGTGATGTGCTGTAGCTGGGCTTGGAAGTGAATCCTAGGGTTTAGGAATTAGGGTTTAGGGGTTTAGGGATTTAAGGTTTAGGGGTTTAGGGATTTAGGATTTCTAAAGGGTTTAGGGGTTTAGGGTTGAAGAGTTTTGATGGCTCAGGGTCCACAAGCAGGTAGGGTCATGAACACCTCGCTTCTGACTCTACTGTCAAGTATATTGCATGGCGCGCAGAGACTCCCCACTAGCATGGGCACAAAGGTCCGGTACAGTAAGCAATACTTTGGTGAATAGGCCTTCCGGTGTCAGAGCTTGGGCAGAGTTTTGCGCGCTCTGGGTTTGCGAGGTTCATGACTTCGGGGACTCCTTTTTGCTACGACCTGGAAAGACTGTCGACGACATATGCGGCAATGATAGGCCTACCATCTAGAACAGGATACAGCTCCCGAACTCCCTGACCGCGCTCAACCTCTAACCGTGTAATCAGCCTGAGACGACAGATCTTCGATCAGGGACATGTGCTGCGAAACTTCAACCCAAAACCACCACCACAAACAACAAGAACAACAACAACAGCACCAACAGCGGCTGCAGCACGCAACAACAACAACAACAACAAAAGCAACAAAAGCAGACACAAACTGCATCTACAATCTGAACATCCACATGTTTCAAGGCTGTGGGGTTGATGTCAAGACAAAATTGTGCTATAGTAATTATACCCCGTCTCCATCAACTTCTTCCGGTGCCTATGTTCGGGAGCTGTGAGCTTCGAGGTGCAAGATTTACAAGCAGGCCGTTTAGACCCAATTATCCATAGCCTATGAGACACACCTCGAAGCGCAAAGGAGCATGAGGGGCCCTTTGAAAACCCAGGTGAACATGAACCGATGCCTGCCAATCTGACAACTCAAACACCGAAATCTGCGAAACCGAAAACAACGAACTACCTGTAGGCTCCATAGTAGTTCTTTTTGGGAGTACCTTATAAGATTCTAAATATGAAGCTCAAAAAGGCGTCACTATGGAGCCTGTGGGCAACAAAGCATAAACAGCATAAGCTGAAAGAACAAAACAGAAGCAACCCGATGCATACAGTAATCTAGATAGACATGTCTCGAGCAAAGTCCCGGAGTCAGACTAAATTCCTCCTGCACGAGCAGACATGGAAGGATAAATTTGAGTTTTTTGAGCAGCACGCACTAGGCACAAAAAAACAGCACTAATTCAATCAGGCAAGCCGACTCGAAAGCTGCAAACACGTATACCCCGGTTAGGGTTTGGGGTAATGGAACCCTAAACCCTAAACCGGTAACCCTAAAAACTCCGAAGCCCAGAACGGCAATACAGCTCTACATCGGGCCGTGTCGCCCCTGCTGAGCGACTTCGCCGTCATACTTGGAAACCCATTGCATTTGAGGCATCTGAGCAGTGGCGACGATGAAAGCTAGAGCTCATTATTGGGTTCACGCGGTGTAGGACCCAAACAGAGAACGACTGTTTTTGCAAGGTCGAGCATGCATAGGGTGGAGAGTTCAGTTTCTTACGAGCTTGCAAGAAGCTTGTTCTGATAATTGGCACGATGTTCGGATCAAGCAGATGTGGATGAGGATCCGATTTACTCACCCATGGTTCCGGAGACTAGCATCCTGGTAAAGCGATGCGCAAAAGTTTCTGCCACATCTGTCGTGCATAATATGATGATCTCTGCAGCACCGATTCTGCGAGCACACCAAGCAGCACTAGGACCAGGCACGAGGCACTAAGACCATTGCTTGCGGTATGCCACCTGCACTTCAGCAGTACCGTCAGCAATCTAACACCCGCTCATCATTCTTTCCTCGTGGGAACTGCCTCTGCTGCAGCCCATCTTTACTGCTGAACCTGCGACTGCAAACCACATTCCAAAAGCCTCATTCCCGCGAAAGGACCAAAATTGCCCAAGCATACCTGAAATCTTTGCTCCCCCCCCCCCCTCGGCACACCCTTGCCTGACATCCACCCGAGCTCCCGGCCCTGTAATGTATTCTAAGCCCCCCAAACCGAAACCCTAAACAACCTGAACTCGACTTCCCAAGCCCGAGAGGCCCTTCAAGGGTTACCTGGACCCCAAAAGTATGTAAAAGAATGGCCTTTTACAGGTATTTGGCCATTATTCTACTTACTTTTAGGGGTTTAGGCAAGTATGTAAAAGAATGGCCTTTTACAGGTATTTGGCCATTATTCTACTTACTTTTAGGGGTTTAGGCAAGTATGTAAAAGAATGGCCTTTTACAGGTATTTGGCCATTATTCTACTTACTTTTAGGGGTTTAGGCAAGTATGTAAAAGAATGGCCTTTTACAGGTATTTGGCCATTATTCTACTTACTTTTAGGGGTTTAGGCAAGTATGTAAAAGAATGGCCTTTTACAGGTATTTGGCCATTATTCTACTTACTTTTAGGGGTTTAGGCAAGTATGTAAAAGAATGGCCTTTTACAGGTCTTTGGCCATTATTCTACTTACTTTTGGGGGTTTAGGTAAGGGCTAATCACATTTATCCAACTTACGTACTTTTGCGGGTTTAGGTAAGGGCTAATCACATTTATCCAACTTACTTTTGGGGGCTTAGGTAAGGGCTAATCACATTTATTCTACTTACTTTTGGGGGTTTAGGTCAGGGCTAATCACATTTAGTCTACTTACTTTTGGGGGTTTAGGTAAGGGCTAATCCAGACGGGAGAGCCTGCACGGGAGAAGGGTCCCGTCCCAGCACGCTGCTTGCCGCACTGGCATCGTCCAGGCACGGGGTAGAGCCCTGCGTTTGGCATTGGGTTTTCGGGTTTAGGGTTTAGGGCTTCTACTGTACATCCACCGCAACGATTAGGGTTTAGGGTCTGTTGTAGGGCCTAGGATTTAGGTTTTGGGCATTGCGATTTCGGTTAAGGACGTTAGGGTTTCAAGGCTGGGGGTTTCAGGTCCTGATTGTTACTGCCGCAGCAACGTGGCGGTTCTTCCATCCCCACAGTAGCCCAGCTATCTCATCCCTGCCCAAGCCTCCCCGTGCGCAAGTTGATATAGATGAGTGACTTTGAAGGTGCAGTTTGGTTGGATGTTAGGCCGCTGCAATTAGTTGTTGCCGCAGGTTAAGGTTCCTTCACTCGGCTTCTAAGTAACCAGAGAGAAAAAGTATAAACTTCTATTTCATAATCAGTCCTTTACGGAAACAAGTATTAAAGCACGGTACTTCAAAGCCCAGTTCGTGGAGCATGACTTACTACCTCAAGCTGAGGTTTGAGGTGTCTGAATTCCTGAACCTAACACCGGGGCCCTAATCCCCATTGTACATAATAAGGAATCCACAAAATAGTGTAGGTAATTATTAATCAAGGCCCCTGCAGTATACAACCCCAACCCCTGGAACGCTGAAGTCCAAGCCCCAAAGCCTGAAATACCAGCCAAGATACACTCATCAATGACTCATCGAAGCATCACCTTAACCCTGAAAAACCTACCTTTTCAGGGTTCCTTATTATAATTTCCTTAAGTGAGTCCTTAAAACTTGCCCCCTCCAAGGCCTTCAAGGCCGAAGTGCTATAGGAACCTAGAAATTGGAGTGTCCGAAAATTAGGGGTACCTTATTTTGGTGTCCTTCTAATAGGAATCCTGCTATGTAGGGTACTATATTAGGGTCCCCTATTTTCGGAAACTACCCAATCTTAATTAAAAGACCGCTTTGGGATATCTTGTGCTCTAGTATCGTCATAATAAGGTACCCTGATGAAGATGTATTAGTCATTATTTGGGCCCCTGTCTTACCCTAAGCCCTAAACGCTGGACCGCTCCCGACAGCTTGGGGCTTAGGGCTTTAAGGGTTTGGCCGGTTTGGCGGATTCTTCAAGGCTTGAGAAAGTAAGAGTTTGGGTCTTGCATCCTCTGCCAAGATCACCTTGAACCCTAAAACCCTAAACCCTAAACCCTAAACCCTGAACCCTGAACCCTAAACCCTAAACCCTAAACCCTGTTCCCTAAAACCCTGAACCCTGAACCCTAAAAACCCTAAACCGAAGACCCTGCTCTCGCTGGCCTCCTCCCGTGAATTCGTAGTAGGGCTGGCCGTCTTCTCTATAAAACATCTCCTTAGCTCAAGACTGGGATTCGCATTCGCGGATCAGGGTCTAAGGACGGGAGCATAAGTCTTGGGTTTCGAGTTTGCCGCACGGGTTGCTGTTGCTCTGCCGAGAGAGGCTCAATGTTTCCAACCTTTCAATAACTGTTCCTTTAAGTGTCTCCTCCTTCGTTCTTTTGGAAAAGTTTTGTATATGGTTTGAGGCTGTGTACATGCGTTACACCGAAGGCTCCCACGCTCACCTTAGAGCTAGACTCTGGACACTTCGAGGTGTTCGGCTTGTTTAAAGGGAGATGACGAACAACCAACAAAAGCCAAATGAGGCGAAGACTCCGTGGGGGTTGAGAGCTGAGGCTTTGGGATTTAGGGTTTAGGATTCGGCGCCTGATATCTGAATCCCGATGCTACCACACGCCGCCTACGTGCCAGCAACATGAGAAACCTGCAGCTACACAGCAGTTGCTGGACGGAAGAAAACAATGCTTGCAGCGAGCTATGCATCATGAGGTATGACAAGCCAATTTGCCATGATCATGTGTTCACATATATACATACGCAGATACACATAGAAGTTTGCCTTTACATGCAGGCATGCGAACATGGAGCACACATGCATGCATGGATACATTCATGCATATACATACATGCACCGTTACATACATACATTGTTAGTTGCTACATACATGCATGCATGCGTGCAAGCATTCCTTTGAAATCATTCACTCATACATACAGTCAGACAGACAGACAGACAGACGGACAGACAAACATAAATACATACACACATACTCCTGCCTGTACATTTACAGATACATGTGCAAGTACGTCAAGTAAACATAATACTGAACAAATCAGTTTGTTTGGACAATCAATCACGTCATTATAACTAGTACGTCTCTGCGTGCAATGTGTGTGCTACATGCGCTGTGGCACTCGCGACACACTAATCATTAATCCGCACCCTCTCTGCCAAACCAGCACGCATGTTTGCGTCTCCACAACAGAAGACGGCATTCGAGGGGTCGTGGCATCCAAACAGCCCCTACCCATCGAAGACAACATCGCATCAAGTTATGCGGGCGTCTCTGCTGGCGTCAGGTGAGCCGGGTGCCTTTCGTCACGCACATGCTTCCGTCCATGTGTACGATGTTCTTCCACCCTACCACTCACGAGAGTGCCAATAATGTTGAAGACAGAGGAGTCGTGCAGGAGTTGAGGTGTCAACCGAAGAAGTTCGTAGACGCAACAGCTAACCGAATCTCCAGGCTTCTGTTTCATATGCGGGGGGGGACTGATCCTGACAGAAACACGGCTACAGCCACAGATACCCTGCTTGGGCTGACTTCCATATGCAGAATCTGTGGTCAGGGCTCAGGATTACTATAATGGCTTGATGCAGTTTCTCTAGGTGCAAACGACAAGATTCCAGCTCCTGACATGATTCCCTTGTTTCAGGCCTTACACGACGATCTCTTAGAAAAGCTTGGCGCAATTCAGGCAGTCATAGGCACAAGGTTTGCAAATCACGAAGACATCTTGCTTTTAGAAGCTTTCAACCCAGCAAACTCGGAATGACGTTCCTCAGCCCCTGAATCTAAACCCCAAAACCCTAAAACCCCAAGCCCTTAAACCACAAGAAACCCTAAACTCCGACCAGAAACCCGCTCCGTGCCTGGCATCCACAAGTACCGCCTTCGGAACTTTCTGGGGGCCCGGATGCTCATCCGATGGCTGCAGCTGAACTGTCAGGGAAATCCGATATGGCAGCAGCAGTAGCAAGCGTAGGAGTAGGAGTACGAGTAGGGGTAGGAGTAGGAGGCGGAGGAGGAGTAGGAGTAATTTAGTAGGACCATCAGCAGCACCAGCTGTCAAAAGCGGTGCAACAAGATCCCACATCCGAAAGCATGGGCTACCTGCGCAGTAGTTTACCACATGAGGTCTACGGCCCTTGAGTTGAGTCTTTGGGCTTCGACTTTTGGACTTTATACTGTGATTTAGATCTTCGAGATTTGCTCTTTAGGGCATCGAGCTGGGGTTCAGGTGAAGAAAATGACATTGCAAGCTCGATGTTGATGACAAACTGCCAAACATTAAAACCCTGCACCCGATACTATAAATCTGAGATTAGGTTCGCTGGTGAGCCTTTGCCGGAAACGTCGCAAGCATGGACTACGCTTCTCTTCGTTTCTGGAGCTGGGGTTCGAGGTGTATGAAAGCTCCGAGTAAGAGTTTCATGACTGACATCACAGGACCACATATATATATATATATATATATATGTATATGGGTTTAAGTTAAGATAAAAAGCCCAAAGCCCCAAAACTCCCTCACCCCCAAACCGCAAATCTTGAAGTGCCACTTGTACGATACTCTTATAGAACCCTCTCAGAGAACATCCCGCACGCCTAGCTTGTCCATGACCTTCTCCAGCTGCTTGTCTTTGCGGAGGAGCTCTGCTGCAGAGGGCTCTGCACGTTTCCTTGTTGAGGGCTCGGGATCTATCAGGGTTTGAGATCTTGGGTACAAGGTTTAGGCCACATAGGGCATGGGCAGCATGGATGGGGTTCGGGGTAGAGCCCTCGCCTTGCATACCCTTAAAGCAAACGTCCCAAGAGGAGCACTCGCGGGCGGCTGAGCGGCGGAGTTGCCTCCGGCCGCCAGACCATGACAGTTCCATCCGGAAGGCCTCTCTGGCGTGAAAGGTTGCAGTTCGGCTGCGGTTTAGGGTACAGAACTCGAAAACCCCAAACTGTAAACCCTAAACCCGAAGCCCTCAAGCCTAACCTAAACTCTGAACCCCAATCCCGAAGCACTAAAGCGACCCGAAACCCGTTTCTGCCGAAACCGCAGAAGGTGAGAGCCCGGGCCTGGAAACTAAACTTGGCAAAGGAGGAGGGATCAACATATAGGGTCACCAAAATCAAGGGAACTGTAAGGATCACTATTAGGGGTTGGGGGTTAGGATGTATGGCTGCGGGTTGAGAGTTTAGGGTTCAAAGTTGAGGCTTTAGGGCTTAAGCTTTGGACTTCAGGTTCAGGTTTGATGAATATCACTTGTGGCGACTTCCTCTGTCTGGTTGCCGACAGTCGCACGCACATCTACTGCAAAATACACTGAGGACCTCGAAGTTTTTTCAAAACTGTTGTGCAGGGTTACTGTTGTTATACTATCATATGTATATATACACACCCCCAAACCCTATTCTAATTTGTCAGCCACCCCTCCTTCTATTTCTTCATGGCAAACCTTGCTGTATAGCAACCCTTCTAGAATTCGATCCCTTCAGGGAACACTTAAACGAAATCTAAAGAACCCCATTCCAATTATTAAGGCCTATATTTCTCAACTCTAATAATTTAGTGGAGGCCTTGCAGAAACCCTTAACATAGCCCTCAACCGGCATCCGTATTTCTCGATTAGCAAGACACAGGCTTTGTTCCACTCGACCTCCCCTCACGCGAGACACCAAAGCAACCTAGATGATGTTTCAGGTTGAGGATTGGGGTCTACCTTTCAAGGGGCCCCCACCCTGTAATAGTGGTATAATAGGAATAGAATAGGACCCTAATACAATCCTTATAGTCACTATTACAGGGTGGGGGCAGCTTCTAAGGTCTACCTATCGTCTTCATTGTAGTTCCCTGTTTTGGTTTTACCAAGTGTATATGTAGATCCTATAAAGTAACCCCAAAAAGGAAGTAAACTGGAGACTAAAGGTAGCGTGCTGAACTTCATGACAACCCTCGACTTATCTTTTCCCCCCCTCAGAACAATAATAAAAGCACAAGCAATATTCTCTTGGGGTTTATATGCACAAAAATGAGAAACAATTCCTAACTAACCCGTGGTTTGGGGGTTCCGTTGGCTCTTTAGCTCCTTATTTAATAGGGATTATCATCATCCCTGGCTCCGTAGCTCCTCCAATATCAACGGGTAGCTAAGGAGGCTATAGTTATCCAAAAAGGAGTCTCGAAGATGGCACATGAGCACTCAAGGACTGCGACACGCCAGGAATCAAGAGCACAGGGGGTTTAGGGTTTAGGGTTTACAGGGTTTAGGGTTTAGGGTGCCCAAGACCCTGCACCACTGAGATGTTCCTAGGTGACATGACTCGATGACATGGCGACCCCGCAGATCCTGTAGGCAAGTCGCAAGTCTTATCCTGATTTCTGGTTTAGGGCTTACGGCTTCTACGGTTTAGGGTTTAGGGCTTCCTCGGTTTATGGGTTCTATAGGGTTAAAACTTGAACCCCAACCCCCTTACTACCAACCTTCGGCGTTGTGTGCAGGATCATGGCATCATGGGGCCTTCCTTCGCATCGCTTTCATCGCAGCAGCATTGCGAATTCCCCATGGCTGCAGGGAGCTCGTCGGGTCTATAGGGCCCCAAAAAAGCACATAAGCAAAACTTAGGATAGGGATATGCCATATAAACCCCCTTATCGTGAAGCCAAATAAGGTAGGGATGTCCTCATATGATGCTTATGCTTATGTGCTTTTTGGGGTCCCTAGTCTAAGCAATGCACTTCAGATCATGCGTCTGCGAACATGGAGAGGCCTGCCGTAGGGTCATGGGGTGTAGTAGACCATACATATAAGAAGGAACTCGAAAGAATCCTAATGGTAGCCTCCCTCTTCAGCTCCAACTACGTACTGCCATTCCTATCCTACCTAAGCCCGGATATCAGGGCTATTTTCTGGATATTGGCTCTACAGGAAAACCCGGAGCCGCGCATGTCCGTGACCTGTGCAGGGCCCCGCAGGCTAGCCTGTTGCAATATGACACACTTGGCAACATGCATGCTTGCTTTTGGTGTACACTCGATCTCGAAAGGCATCGACACAGCATCACGAATGAACGTCAAATTGTGTGTTAGGCATAACTCAGCTTTCTATCTGCAGACTAGATCAACACATTGACATGCATGTTAACATAAGCTCCCGAACGACCTGCTTGAGCCGCGGGACGTCTCGGTAATGATCCGGCTAGACTCATCCTCACATATCGCAGCTGCAGAAAAGCAGAAAAAACAACTGAAGTCCTGACTTAATCAACTAATGGCGTTTCAAAACACTGCAACAAGATTGTGGAGCAGAAGTCCTACAAGGGAATAGTAATACCATTTCGGGCTAAGAGATTCCGACCAGGAGCAGACTGTATTTTAGTTTAGCAATGGTGAGCTGCCTAGCTGTACCCCGGATACCTCCTCGACCTGCACGATGTTGCTGGCTTGTCGGGCTGTGGCGGGGACCTACTCTCAGCGAGGAAACTAACCTTCAGTGTTGACGGAATGACAAGATGCAGGGTTCATGAAGCTCCTTAAACCCTAAACCCTCGACCCCGAATACTAAACCCTAAGGCCTAAACCTAAAAACTACATCCCTAAATCCAAGATCCTACACCCTAAAACCACATGGCCTAAACCCTACATCCCCTCATTCCTAATCCGGAACCCCCCAAACCCGAAGCCCTGAACTCTGAACCCTGAATCCTGGTCTTCGGGCAAAGGCTCGCCCTGAAGATTAGCAGCGCTGGGAGCCCCAAAGCTTTGAAATGAACCCGGTTAGGAGTTGACTTGGAGGTTCATGGGTAGTCATAAGTGGGGTTATAAGTAGGGTAACTATATCTATAAACCATATTAGGGGGACCTATAACCCCACTTATAGCTACCCATGAACCTCCAAGGAGGCCCTAAACCCTATACCGTTATAGAATCCCTATAGAGCCCTTTAAAGCCACCCTTAAAGGAACCCTTATAACTACCCATGAACCTCCAAGGAGGCTTTCAGGTGGTGGGCTGAACTTGAGGTTTAGGGCTGCGGGCTTAGGCTAGGATACCCAGTAACCTAAGAATAACAAGGCCTCTCTTTTTGGTATTGGGTAACTCTATAAGGAACCTAGGACTACAAAAAGGGAAAAAGGGTACTACTGGGCATCCTAGTAGGGCTCTCCGGGTTGGGGGGTGTGGCTCTGCGTTGAGGGTTTACTTAGAGTCTCCATTGTAGTTCCTTTTTTTGGTTAACCGGTTTTATGGTTATGATCCTGTAATAGAGATTTTGGTCAACCAAAACTAAAGGAACTACAATGGAAACTATAGGTAGTCTAGGATTGAAGCATTTCGGGTTTACTTGAGGGGTTTACGGTTCTCGGGCTTTGGACTTCTTCAATTATGCTACAGCAAAAGCGCGAATGAAACGGAGCAGGGCCCTAAACCCTAAATCCTAAACCCGAATGAAACGGAGCAGGGGAACCCAAGCCATCCTAACACTGTCAACTCTACTTGGGTCCCTTTAAAGGGATCTGTAGGGATTCTATAAGGGTATAGAGTTCCTTTAAGGGTCCCTTTAAATGGATCTATAGGGATTCTATAAGGGTATGGGGTTTAGGGTCTACTTGGAGGTTCATGGCTAGTTATAAGTGGGGTGTAAGTAGGATAACTACAATAATAACCCATATTAGGGGACTTAGAACCCCGCTTATAACTACCCATGAACCAAGTGGTGCAGCCAGGGTCTACCATGTTGGCTGCTTTGATGTTTCGGGCTGAGGGAGCCGTGGACCCTGAACCCCCATACCCTTAAACCCTAAACCCCCACTCCCGAGACCCTAAACCCCCTAACCCCTAAACCCTAAACCCTAGATTGTAGAGATTTGCAGGTTGGAGGATATAGGACTTATCAGGCTTCGCACTCAGGGTTTAGAGTAGGCCTCACAGCAGTTTAGGTCACAGCAGTTTAGGGTTTAGGGTTTTTAGCAAGAGGAGCGTTCAATTGTTGGAAAAAGCTTTAGCGGTAGACGATAATACACTGATTTCTACTTCTGCAGACCCCCCCCAAAAAAAAACAATCAACAACAAATGTGAGTTTGCAAAAACATGGGACTTCAGTATGAGCAACTACTCGTAGACTCTTACCAAGAACGCTGAAAGAACCTGCTTGCAGTGCGTTTCGGCTCTCTCAACCCCCGGGTCTTTCCTTGAGCTTCCCCCAGAGCAAGGCCACCAAGGGTTCAGGGGCTGTTGTTCTCGGTTTCGGATGCGGTTTAGGGTTTAGGGTTTATTTAGGTTTAGGGTTTACTTGGGTTTAGGGTTTAGGGTTTTGGGTTTAGGGTTTAGGGTTTACTTAGGGTTTCGGATGTAGGACTTAGGGTTCTATCTTGTGCAATGAGGAAAACCTCCGTACGGTTGATGATATAAATCCTGCATTAAACATAATAAATAAAGAATATACCATAATTCCCATAGTTTAGGGTCCTTAAGGCAATGCAGGATTTATATCATCAGCCGTATTCTGGCTGGTATCTTGAAGCAAGCCACCCTTGTCCCGAACAGCCCCCCTCCCTCCCCACACACACAGATCTACCTCTTCACGAGGCTATGTTCTCTCTCTCGGGATCTTCCATTCCCCTGTACCTTGCCTCCAGGGTTTGGGGGCTTAAGTCTTATCCGAAACCTGAAAACCTACCCTGCTTTTTAGGGCTACATGGTATGCTGTCCTCATACAAGCCCTTAAACAGCTAGGCTCTGAAAGGTCCAGGTAGGGCTTGGGGGGTTTAGGGTTTCGCCTGGGGCGCTTTGAAGGATTTGCTTTAATTACAGGTGTTTCACGCAGCTTTCGGGGTTAGCCTTCGACAGCCAAGGCACTTCGACTAGGTTGGGTTTAGGGTTTCGGGCCTATGGTAGAGGGCCTTAGTTTGTGACACTAAAGGTTGAACCACTATAGAGCTATGGAGCAGGTCTAAAAGATGCCGATCGAACTGCACTCAACCTTGTAAGGACCCGGTGAAAGATCCCTGTCAACAGCCCCCGTCTGAAAAAAAACCTGATAATGGCACCAGTCTAGAGTACTCCTCAGGTGACGAAGATCCCACGATGAAGCCGCAGGTGAAACTCTGAGCGGCGTTGCTCCCTGTCTTGGGGCCTTGGGTGTATATACGAGGAGTAACCGATGAAACCTTTAGGAGAGAGGGAGGGCTGACACAAAAAACTGGTATCATTTACCTAGTTTAAAGTTACCTTGGTTACTCTAGGCCTAGGCAGCCCCTGAAACTTCTCGCAAGCTCAGGTGTCCAGCAAACTTAGCCAGTCATCACTCTCAGCCTCTCAGGGATGCAGTGGAAAGGGGATGTCGGCGCAGAAGGCTTCTTTTGGGTTTAGAGTTGAGGGGTTTAGGGTTTATTTAGGGTTTGGGGGTTTGGTTAAGCGTACTAAAAGGGAACTGCAGTTGTAGGGTTTAGAGTTTAGGGGCGAATGGTGTCTCGTTTGGGCGCTGCTGTTTTCTTTCTTGACTTTGCGCTGTTGGTGCTCTCCCACTAGATCATTCAAAACCACCAAGCAAATCGATGGACATACTATTGAACACACGCACAAGCGTGCATGCATACATACGTACAAACATACATACTTACCTACGTACGTACTTACATACCTACACACATACACATTTGCACACAACATCCGATCGTGCATACAAACAGACGTACATGCATGGATGTATACATCCCTGACAACAAGCAATCATGCAGCAAACATACCGATATAGTTACATATGTGCATACATGCACACATGTGTACATGCATGCACCCATTCATGCAAATACATACGTGAGTGCATGCCTAGACTCAACGAACCGAAACATGTGCAATCAGACATGCTTACATAAGTACACACACACACATGCATGCATGCATACATACATACGTCCATATCTGCATGTCTGCATACCTGCCTGCATGAGTGCATTCATGCATGCATGGGCATGGACATATACATATTGTACATCCATGCATGCACACGTACATGCGTGCACATGCCCATGTCATGCCCGCTTCCACACACAAACCAACATCCATACACATGCCTGCATGCATACATACATACGGACGAACATACATACAAAACATACATGTCCGCATACTTACATATGATCTGTAGACGGCCATTAACCATCTGTATCTGAAGACTTTGTACGAGTCGATACACGTCTGAACCTTTGCTTTCATGCCCTTTCGTAGACGCACATGGTACTCCCAAACTCGCACGCACACGCACATGCACACACGCAGATCTCTTCCGGTCTTACTGCCTGTGGCCCGCTTTCGCCAGGGGATTCTGCGCTGGTCGCTTCCCGCGGACTTGCATCGCAAGTGGGCGTCTGGCGTGAAGGTGGCAGGAAGTCATATAGGGGTCTTAATAATTCGAATATGGTTGTGGGGCCCAGTACACTATAATCTGTGCCCCTATGTTATGAAAGGAGCTGTTGGAACTCCGAAGTTGAGCCCTAAACTCAAAGCCACATGCTCTGAATCCATGAAAAGCTCAACCATTTCGCTCCGATGCCCTGGCTCTGAACAGTTGGGAAAGCTGCGATGCAGTGGACCGAAAACGAAGTCCTCCAAGCACGCAGCGTCCGATCTTGTGACTTTCTTCGTCTTGGAGTCTTTCCCACGTCCATCTTCTAGCTGTAAGACACACTTATACACATCACCCACGAACCAACACAGGTAGAAAGCTCCAGCCTTCATCGTAAACAACAAACAGCACCCAGCATGATTAGGATTTCGAGTTTGGGGTTTAAGGTTCAGTTTTTTGTTGTTGAAGCCTTTTCTGTCGCATGTAGGGTTTAGGGATTTGGGCTTAGGGCTCATTTAAGGTTTAGTGAAATTTCCCAGATTGCCGAGAGGCATCCTGCGGATTGCTCGCTGCATCCAGGGCTTGAGAGAAAGCACTCGCCAGCCTCAGTCGCTTGATAGTTTCGGGTTTCACATTTTAGGGTTTAAGGCTTCGGGTTTACGGTTTAGGATGTAGGGTTTAAGGCTTCGGGTTTAGGATTTAAGTTCAGTTTGAGGGCTTAAGGCTTAGAGTCAGTTTAGGATTTGGGGTGTAGCGTGTAAGGCTTTCCTAAACCCTAAACCGTCTACAAGTAAGGACCTTGCTCGGGGGTGTATACTGAGCTCTCCTATGAGGTGCGCGTTAGATGTGATGTTAGATAACAGACCCAAAGGGTCCAAGTATCATTGTGGTCTATACTTATTGGGGTATTTTGAGGGTCTAAGTATATACCATAATGATACTTGGACCCTTTGGGAGAGGAGTCTTAAACAACTTAATAAGTCGAATATGCCTTCGGGGGGTATGTTTACTCTTCTTGCAAGAAGGAACCCACCAAAATTCTTCAGGTAGAATTATCAAGGCCCCTATACGAGAGCTGACGACTCTGTGAATCCTAGGCCAAAGTCACAAGGCGTGGTGTGAGGTCCTGCGATTTCACAATCACAACCAACATCTGGATTTTGTGGGCTTGACTATAGCGCAAGCCCACAAAATACATAGAAATCCTCACTCTGAATATCCAAAACTGCCAAAATATTCCGGAATCCGGAACAATAAACCTCCCTGAAACTTTAAACCTTACCCAACCCAACATGAATTCAACTCCCTGAGCTTTGGACGTGTCGGCAGAAGGGTTGCCAGGCAAGGCAGTCCCGAAAGTGGTAGGCAGGCGACGAAACTTTGGAGGCCTCTCCTGGACTGGCGTTTCGTAGGGTTTTTAGGGCTTTCAGCATAAAACAAAAGCTGCCTTCTGATGAGAAAAGTGTTCTCTTCTAGTTGTTGCACCCTAAACCCTGGACCGGTCCTGGATCTGGGAGTTTGGGATTAAGTTGTTAAAAGTTCAAGGATTTGCGGCTTAAGGTAAGGATGCTACTACTAGGTCGACGCCGAGCCACGAACTTTCGCAACTCCCACATGCTCTTAACCCCAATCCTATTACTGGCGACTGGCAGCTTCGAAGCTGCGAATGCCCGGCAACTCGAGACCCTTCGCGTTTTTTGCACTCTGGCAGATCCTACTCTTGGAGGGTGTGGGGTTTAGGCATTCAGGTTCAAACCTTTCGCGGTTCAGGGTTAGGGCTTGGGGCTCCAAGCCCTGGAAACCCTACACCCTAAACCCGAAATCCCCTAAATCCTAAACCCTATAAACCCTATAAACCCTAAACCCCTAAACTCTAACCCCCCCAAACCCCTAAACCACCCCATGATTCCTAAACCGTGCACTGGAAGAGCCAGGAGGCATCTGGCTCAACACGAAGCTCTGTCTGCTGAGGCAGGAAATTCTCTCGGCACATCCTCAGAGGCTCTCCGAACCCCGGGATTTTGCTGGGGAAAGCCCTTATGGAAGTTGAAGTTGCCCAGATGGTTATGGAAATAAGTATATAACTTATGTGTTTGTTTGTTTGAGGAGTGGGTTCTGTGAGTGCAGGCGGCGTATAGAGATGTGTAGGGCTTGGGACTGCAAGAAGAGCATGTTCAGGGTTCAGCTTGAGTTCACCGATGGTATGGTTTGGGCTAAGGACGGTTTAGGGTTTAGGGGTTTAGGGTTTAAGGTTTAGGGTTAAGGCTTTAGGACTCAAGGTTTAGAACTTATCTATTCGGGCAACTTCTCTGCTGGAACCAGGTTCTAGCGGCGACCAAGAGAATACAGACAGTCACAAGCGTGTGCATAGGCAGAGCAAGACCAAAGCGGGAGAAGCACCATAGACATCCTTATGGTAGCCCTCCTATGCAGACAATCTTATCTTCTGCCTTACAGTCGTCCTTCCGGTAACCTTTCATACTTGCAGTAACCCTCATAGTAGCCCTTATAGTTACCAAGGGTCACATTCACCTCGGAGATGAGTGCCTCAAGCAAGCTTACCAGCGGCTCACTGCGAAGCTGCGGTAGACCTGGCACTCTTTGCTGCGCGACATTCACAGAGGAGGGCCGAATCTCGGCAAGCATACGCAAAACGGGGTTGGATACCAGTGACTCTCCCATGATGTTCAGCCGTCGCATCCACTGCTGACGGACGTGCGAAAGCCTTCTGTAAAGCTCCTGCTTCTTGGCATCCAGAGAGTCTGCACCTCCATTCTCACTGCACTGCACTGCTGACCCCACTTCAGGCAGCACTGCAGAGGACCGAAGCATCACAGGAGCCGGTTTCGGAGCCGGTGCAGCCAGATCCGAAGGCACGGGAGAAATGTGAAAGAAAGCAGCTTGGTCGGTAGATCGCATCCTTCGCAACCCTTGCTCCGACACGGAGAGGGCAGCATATCTCATCCCATTGGCCAGCTTAGCGGGTTTCTCCTCCAGGAGTCCTGCTCGGAGAACGTGTGGAAGAAAAGCCTTCCACCAGCTGTGGGCCTTGTGACGTCCGCTCCCGAAGGTAGGATGCCTGTGAAGGCTACGAGCCTTGAGTTTCTCGACCATTTGCCCTGCGGCCAAAGCACAGGGCAAAGCAGATCCGGTGAAGCCACCGCATGCCGACACACACTGGAGCAGGATGGCGCACTCTTGCGTGAAGTCGCTCTGCTCTGCCGAAGAAGGGGGAAGCTTCCTGGCCTGGCACACGTCACACCAGGAGCAGCAGGCTGGAAGGCTCCCCACTTGAATGCACTCTCCTTTACGCGGCTCTTGCGGTTCGCTGTTCAGCCTCTCAGGCTCTTCGCCGAAGTGCTGGAGAAGTCTCACACGCCGGCACTGGCTGCTGTCTGCCAGGAAAGCTGCGAGCTTGGAGTGCAAGAGAAGCAGGTGCCTTGAATGCTCATCGTTAGCCTTACAGCCTTGGAGTAGCAGAGTCTTGGCCTCTTGCAGATCCTGTTGTCCTTCGTCGTAGTTTTGGGGCTCTGAAAAGTATTTATGAATAGGTACCTCTATAGGAACCATGAGGGAAACCAAAAGTTTCCCAAATTGCCACCTAGTGTCTAAAGAATGTGATGCACTCCGCATCTTCTCCGTCACGCCCAGCTCGGCCACACTGCTGCACATAGCTCTCAAGCGAGTGGGCGGCACCGTAGTGAATCACCCGGCGAATAGATGCCTTGTCAATGCCCATTCCGAAGGCAACAGTGGCCACAACCACTTGAAGTTCGTCCATCAAGAATGCTCGATGGATGTCGCGGCGGTCCTGCATGGGCAAACCGGCATGATAGGATGCCGCAGCCACACCGGCTCTGATCAGCAATGCGGCGAGCTCCTCGCAACGTGCCTTGGTCTGTACATACACGATGGTGGAGGACGTCGGCTCGATCTGGCTGTTGTCAATCACCCTTTCGGAGCAGGGAGGGGATAACAGGCCAAAGATTTCAGTCAAGTCCTCCTCAAAGGTCCTGCGTGGCCGCACGACGTACTTCAAGTTCGGGCGGTTCATGGGTCCGACGATGTGCACGCAGTCGGACAGGCCCAGGCTCCGCTGTATGTCATGTCGCACCTCCTTGGTGCATGTCGCCGTAAGGCACCTTAGAGCACTGCCAAAACGAAGGTATGACTCTCGTCCCACGGCTGCGCAGGGATAGGTGTTTAAACCAGTTTTAAACCCTAAATCAAGACCATCCAACCCTAAACCCTTAACCCTTTACCCCAAACCCTCAGCCGAGCGACATGGTCGGCACCTTGCCAAGAGCCTCACGTAAGCGACCCAGCTGCTGGTATACCGGCCGGAAGTCATGTCCCCAGGCAGAGATACAGTGCGCCTCGTCGATGGCCAGCACGCAGAGAGCTTGCCTGCAGACGTTTTTAGAGTAATCTTGATACGCTCATGTAGCGGTTTGGGTTGTACTGTTCCAGTTATCGTTTATGTTGCGGGTATTTTGGTATTGCTCATGTTTTAGTTGATTACCTTATCCCAGACGTCACGAAGATGGCCCCTACATCCCTCTCTCTCTCGCTGTCTCTTTCTCTCTCTGTCTCTCTCTCTCTCTCTCTCTCTCTCTCCCTCTCTCTCGCTCGCTCGCTCTCTAGCAGATGGACACTCGGACGACCGGACGGACAGGGACATCCACACAAAACGAAAATAATGTCCGACATCCGGAATGACCTAGGCAGGCAGAAACAAATAAACAACATGCCCAACACGCCTCACTCCGGCAATCTCGGCCAGGTGAGCTAAGGCAAACTCCGGACCTTGGACACCGGCACTTTGGACTTATGAGATGGGTTGTGCTAAGATATACGCTGGTAGGAAAGCCTGGCCAAATTGCACAACCACACTGCGCTCCTGCACCCGTGTTCGATTCCAGTGACAGCGTACCACAAAGGCCATGTCCTAAGTCCTTTTACCAAGGCAGAGACTCTGAGCCCGTATATCACGACCCAAGCCAAGTTGCTCATGTAGACCACCCGATAGTGACCAGACGTGACAGAACTCCAGCAAAATGAGTCCTGGCTGATGGTTTTCGTGATCTTGACCACTCTGAGCACAATTCGCTTCTTGGGTACTGATGCAGAAGATGGGAAAATGATGGACAATCATGATGAAGAGTATAATGATGACGGTGACCGCAACTAGTGCTACTGCCTCTGCCGCTGCTAATGCTGCTGCTCATGTACTACTACAACTACCACTAGTTACTTCCACTGCTACCACTACTGCCACTCTTACCACTTCGACCACGGCTACTGCTACTAGAACTACAACTATATACAACTGCAACCACCGATACCACTTCCACTGCCAGAACGAGTGCGACTACGACGAGGACTATTGCGACGGCGGCGGCGACGACTACTACTTCTACGGCGACGACTACTGCTCCTGCTGCTGCTGCTACCACTACCACTACCACTACCACTACCACGACCACGACCACGACCACGACCACGACCACGACCACGACCACGACCACGACCATTACCACCACCACCACCACCACCACCACCACCACCACCACCACCACCACCACCACCACCACCACCACCACCACCACCACCACCACCACCACCACCACCACCACCACCAAGACCACGACGACGACGACGACGACGACGACTCTGCTACTGCTACTGCTACTGCTACTGCTACTGCTACTGCCACTGCCACTGCCACTGCCACTGCCACTGCCACTGCCACTGCCACTGCCACTGCCACTGCCACTGCCACCACCACCACCACCACCACCACCACCACTACCACCACTACCAGCACTACTACCACTACTACCACCACTACCACCTACTACCACCATTACTACCACTACTACCACTACTACCACCACTACCACCACTACCACCACTACCACCACTACCACCAGCACCAGCACCAGCACCGGGACCAGTTCCACCACTACGACTACGCCTGCTACTGCTGCTGCTCCTGCTGACTGCTACTGCTACTGCTGCGGCTACTGCTTCTGCTACTGCCACTGCCATTGCCTCTGCTGCTACTCACCCCTACCGGCACAATCAATAGCATCATCACTAGCATTCATTAAGACATACTACAACTGCCACGGACACGCCACGACTGGGTAAAATGACCACAACACTCCATAATGATGTGTAGGTTGATGTGGAAGCTTGGATGCACAACACATGGACACTCATCATCTGCATGGTGCCATCAAGAATAGTGACTCCACTTGCCCGGGCGTGCTGGTTCAGGAAGGAACTGCAAATCGTCTTGCACAGTCTAGCACACCGCCCAGTCCAGCATCAGTCCCAGACCCATATAGCCGATAGCCCGAACCCACAAAAAGCTTCAATTTCTATCTCTCGGCCCTATGCGGCGGCTATAGGTTTGGCATAAACCCTTTGAACACAAAGTTCGGCGAGGCAGTCCCCGCCAGATCCGCAATGTGTGGAAGGAATCTGTCTCTGCCGCAGTGTGTGGACCTGGCGCGGGCGGTAGGAATATGCTTGGAGGGGCAAGGGCTTGTAGAGCTTCGGGAATTTTCGGATTTAAGATAAAAGGCTTCCATGCCTGGACTGGAGGCCCAAAGACCCGTGGGAAACAGCTCCTACAGCCGTTACAGGCGGGGGCCTGGGTCAGCCACAACTGGGTTCGCTGGAGTTCCTCTGGTGAGTTTACGATTGGTCTTGGATTTGGGGGTTCAGGATTTAGAGTGGGCATGAGGATTTGGCCGTGGTGTACAGGGTTGCGGGCTCTACTGCAAAGGATGGAAGCCGCGTGTTGCCTTGCAGTTGCATGTAATGCACTGTTCCACTGACTCGGACACTTTACGAAAGACAAGCAGTACCGAATCGCAAACTAAACAATTGAAGCGCGCAGGTGTTCTCTTGGATGGTTTCTGTTCCAGATTCAGCTCCGCTTAGATCCCAAAAAGTCCAGGTACCATTAATTAGGTACTTAGTAGGTTTGCGGCCCCCAAAAGTGTATACCATACTGTTACTTGGACACTGCGGGACTCGGGTTTAGGGCTTCTACTATAGGATTTTCGTATTTCGGGTGCGGGATCCTCGACTAGTACGTTCGTTGCCCCTGACTTAAGGACCGATCTCCGACAAGCCGCCCTGGCTCCTTTATCATCATAGTAGGATTGTGGGGTACTTGGAGGTTCATGGGTAGTTATAAGTGGGGTTATAAGTAGGGTAACCAGAATTAGAATTGTAGCTCATAATTAAGGGACTTTAACTCCACTTATAACTAACCATGAACCTTCAAGTATAGGGTAGTACTATAGTGATACAGGAACTCGATCGGCACACAAGTAACCTTCTGTCCCGGGATTGGACCCCAGTTGGGGCCCTCAGACCTCAGAGAACTGCTCCCAAAGAATCCACAGTACCTTTATAGTAGAATGTTTTGGTCCCGCCGTAACCCACCGGAGCTCGAAGCTCGGGCGACAGTGTAGTGTAGAGTTGAGGGACCTTCTTGCGAAAGTATCTACTACGACTTGCTACAAGATAAGCCTGGAACCTAATTCTCTGTAGGGGTTTAGGGTTTAGGCCTAAGCCGGGCGCCCTAAATCCTGGAACCGAGTCTATGTCTGGCCTCAGAGCCAATGTGCAACAAGCTGAGACATATCGACTTTTTGCCCTTAAGGCTTTTGAGCCCTGCGTGGTATGTATCTTGGGAGAGGGACCGTCAGAAACCTCGAGGTATCTTGGGGGACCTTGCGCTAAGGATCCTACTATACCCGGTTACGGCTCCGCTTTTCGGTTCCTTGTTTCTGAAACTCCGAAGTAGCTTTACCTTTACCCTAAATCCGCCTAAACCCTAGACCGTAAACCCTAAGCCCAACCGCTTAAACCCCAAAAGCCTAAACTCCAGCTGAGGATCTGAGGTGAAACCACAAACCCTACAGATCTCTAATAGGAACCCTTAGAGGAAACCTTATAGATCCCGTTGCAGGAGCCATTCTGGGTAGGGACCGGCCACGCCTGGTCTTGCATCAAGGAAATCAGCGGCGAGATCACCAAGGCGCATCCTGCAAACCCAAAAACCCCACTTTAAGAGTTTATAGAGCTTCGGGGGTTGAGGGGCAGGGCTTACAGGGTTAAGTTTGGGGTTTACGGCTTAAGTTTTAAGGATTGGGTTTAGGGTTTCGGGTTTCCCATTTAGAGTGTAGAGTCCAGGCCCCGAAACCTGCATGAAACCCTGAATTCGAAGCTTCCGTTGCCCGCTTTGCTTCGCGTTTCGGGAAAATTAGAGTCTTTCCGGGGGGCTTCGAGTGCTTCGAGGTGGTGTCGGAACCGAACGACCTAAGGACATCAGAGGCCGTGTAGTGGCGTTCAAAACTTTAGAGAGAGCTTCAGGGGCTGCTTGACGGCTATACGGGGGGGGGTACGGGTAGATCGGGCTTAGGGTTTCCCAAAGGGTCCAAGCTTCATTATGGTCGATGCTTATAGGGTATTTTGGGGGTCTAAGTATATACCATAATGATACTTGGACCCTTTGGGTTTGGGGTTCAGGTTTGTGTGCTCAGCGTTTCGGGCTTTCTTTGAGTTTAAAGTTCAGCATCTGTGGGCGTCAGGTTTTGGGTTCTGGTTTAGGATACCCAGTAACCTAAGAATAAAAAGGCCTCTCTTTTTGGTATTGGGTAACTTTATAAGGAACCTAGGACTACAAAAAGGGAAGAAGGGTACGCTTCTAGAGTCGCTGGTAAAGCTCACCCGACGCACAAGGGAAATTCGTGACCACTCGCCGATAAGAGATGGATCACCCATCCTAGTTTCTGGTGTAGGATCCGAAACTCAAAGGTTGAGACTTTCTCGGATCTGCAGGATGATTCAAAGGCAAATCGGAGCTAATCTTTTTTTCGGGCCAGGTGATGAAGCAACGGAAGAAGGATGCCAGAAACATACGGAATGCTAAGTAATATTCGTCGCAATGATTTGCAGTGCAGTGCCGAAGACAGATCTCAGTCTAAACAATGCCTAGCAGACCTGACACCGGAAACCTTCAACTGCAAACAGAGTTGAGGTGCTTGAGGAAGGTTGCAGGTTGAGGTGTGTGGAGCGTGGGCTTGGCAGTGAGGGCGCAGTCAAGTTATAGATGCAACAGAGCGTACATGTACCCAATGGAGTGCCTCAGTCACGCACTCCCTTTGCAATACAACCTTGAACCAACCCCAACTCCCAACACTGAAACTCCCTGAACCTCCCTTGTGTTGCACAAAACAAAGATGCAGTCGAGAAGCGCTGATCCCGTCGACAGAGTGGCGGGAGCTGGAAGCAAACTGACTTCCCAGCACCTCGTACGCAACACGCAAAAGCCCTGACACATGAATCGTGAACTGACTGCATACCTGCTGCAGGCGCATCAACAACAGTAGAGCCGCATGCTGAGAGTATACTGTTGTAGCTACAATAACTAAAAGCAGAACAGGATCAGTCATCATTCAACAATCAACAGTAGGCGGACTCAAAAAAGTGGCGACCTGCGCGACAAACCAACGACAGGCAACCGGCATCGCCGTGGCTGTGAGAAGTGTTTATTGTGGCGGCTGTAGACATCAGCAGCAGCAGCAGCACCACCACCACCACCGCCATCTTCAATCGTCATTCTCATCCTCTTCCTCATCCCCATCCTCATCTTTGTCCTCAACCTCATCATAACCGTCATCGTCATCTTCGTCGTCATCGCCAGTACCATCGTCGCATCTCCCCGGATAGCACTGAGATGATACCAGCATCGAGAACAGCAACCACCAGCATCCATGGAAATGCCCCCATTGCGCTCACAGACCTGTACTTAACTGCCCTTGACATGGAACAAAGCTATATACGCACGATGACAATAAAACTCAGAATGATGACCGCCACATCTAGCAAAGATCCTCAACGCCGAACACCAATGCCCTGGGGCATGGTTTTTTTTCTTATGCGGACGGTTTCTCCCCTTATGCGACCGGCTTTTCCTTATGCTGACGGTTTCCCCTCTTATGCTCATCTGGCTTCCTCTTATGCTCATCTGGCTTTTTCTTATGCGAACCTGGCTTTTTCTTATGCGAACCTGGCTTTTCCTTATGCTGTCTGCTCCCCCCCCTGTCCTGACGCTTGACTCCGCCCCCCTGACCTCTGCCCTGTTCTCGTGCCCTGCCCTTGCCTTCCCTCTCCTGTGCCAGGCACGAGGGAAGGCAAGCTATCGGGGAAGCCCCTTGTACGGGGTCTTCTTTTGCAGCAAGCTATTGGAATATCCCAGTCGAGTGGAGAAGTCCCAGCCATTATAGGGTTTTCCTCTGCAGTAAGCTATTGGGGAAGTCCCGTTTATATAGTCTCCTTCTCCACCAAGCTACTGGAGAAGTCCCATTTGTGGGCTGTCTTTTGCAACAAGCTATTGGGGAAGTCCCATTTCTGGCGTCTTCTTTTGCCGCTTGAAAGATCAACCTTGATGCACATGCTCGTGCGCGCATTGTCCATGGGCCTGACGTCGGCGTGGCCTATGCATCATGGACGCGCTGACGCGCCTTCATGATCCTCCCGTGGCATTCCAAAAGAAAGGGCCATGTGCACGACGCACGATGCAACGGAACCCGGGATCCGATGAAACTCGGTGGCTCCACGCTCGGCTGCGGTGACTCCTGCATGTCGGGTGCAGGCTCCGCTGCACATCTGGGGACGTTGGGGACGGCCCGAACCCTTGACCCTTCTGGAAGACAAGCCTCCACGGAGCCGCAGCCGAGGCAAGGACCTGAAAGAGCCAGATGGCTACACAGAAAGGACGTGTTTGGGAGTGGCTGCTGGAAAGCTGCAACAGCAGGTTTACCTGATCGGCTCCTCACGCACCGCCTGTCCTGTGAGCAGTCAATGAAGCTGTCCCGCGACCCACTGTAGTCTGTGCATAGGACCACGGGACAGCTGGAAACCTTGATGTACATGTCGCAAGAGAAATATAAGGCATCCACAAAACTTCATTGAGGTGTTCTTGCAGGGGCTTGGGGTCGTCCCTTGTGGCACCTTTTCAGAAGGATCTATGGCTCAGTGCCTGGCTCAGTAAGTCCAACTGCGAGGCTGTCTCGCGGTTACTCATCGTTGCCCATGTTTTCTCTTGCGACCGCGCGGCTTTATTTCCGGCACGCTGTTGAGATTGGGTGGCCCCCCACACAGAGCGCAAGCGTACTTCACGTGCTCGCACTCTGCGTGCAGGGCATAGTTGACGCAGGTGCAGACTTTGTACACATGATCGCCGTGGCGACCGCGGGGCCAGTAGGCGTTCACACAGTGGCCCTCACACACTACAACATGGTCAACGAAATACGTTTTCAACGCCTTGCGATTCAGGACGTGGTGGCCCCCTTCTTGCACTTCCAAGATGCCGGAAGCCTCGAGCAGGGCCGTCAAATCCGCGCCGTCCTTGTAAAGCATCGCGCACAAGGTGCGCGCAAGCGCCTGTGTGGCCGGGGACATGGTGTGCATCGCAGCTACGCAGCTATATATGTCCCTTCCCTGCCCGTGGACTTGCCTCGTTTACAGGCGCCGTCGGCGACGCCATGACCCAGAATGTGGTGTACTCGGACTCTGCCGTGCTTGGCCCATGTGGCGTTCCAGTGCCTTAGAGTCTGACATAGCTTCGCATAATCAAAGCTCCCAGATTTCCGCACACCTTCCGGCATATCATTATCCCTGTCAAGCAGCAAATGCGAAGCTTGATGTAGTTCTGGTTCTGGCGCCCCTTCCAATAGTCTATGGCTGGGGAGCGCCCTTGCGACCGCAGGCTCGCACTGTTCAGCAAATACTCGTTCTCGTCAGCAGAGAAAGCGGACATTCGCATAGGCTTGCCCCACTCGAAGACTGTCACCCATTTCGAGTACAGGTGCTGCATGCCGCGCAGGGCTGTCAAAAGCCCGTCCTTGGTGCGACTTTTCAATTCCGCCTCCCACGACGCATGTCGTGCCTCTAATGGGTTTGTACCGCCGCCACTGCCCGGGCTGGTGCCGAGGATGCCCACCCAGAAACTTGGCACCCAAAGTTTCTTGGCGCTGCGTGCCGGAGCCCGGACACTTTTGAAGACGCGCTGGATGTACGGCACAGTGCCCTGCGCAAAGAACTGACGCTGAAGGTACTTGGCCACGTCTGCAGGCAGCTCCTCAAAGATGACCTGCCAGATAGCATCTGCCAGCTGCAACGTCGGTAGGCACCTGCACTCAAACGCACGCTCTTCTTGCGCCAACGTTGACATAAACAACTACGGACTGTACGGACTGCAGTCTGCAGCAGCCTCGTCATGTCCGACAGCGTCATGACGTTGGCCACGGCTGGATCCGGCTTCTTTCTGCCCGGTGCCTTCTTTGCTGACTGACCAAACTTCTTAGGGAGGGTGCGGGCCAAAGCCTGCTTGTAGTGGAAGTAATCCCCCACCAGTCTCGCATTTGGAAACACGGCGCGGCGCGCAGCAGCGATGCCCGGCGCATAGTCGGCATGCACCTGGACAAGCTGCGACTTTAGGTCAAAGTTTGCGATGTCTTTGCAAAGCCAGCAGAGATCCTCGAAAATCGCCGTCAAGTTCTCCTCTGACTCGCTGCTCACAATCGCTTGCATGACGGGCTGCGCATTGGACGTGTGAGCTTTGTACTGCTGGCGTCTGCCTGCGATCATGGCAGCACTTGTGTTGGACGGACGTAGACTGCGAGCCGCAAGGCATAAGGTCACAACACCATAGTTGTTAGCGATAGCTCCCATTTTCATATCAACCATGAGGCGAATGCGATGCTTTGCGGCATCTTTCAAGCGCAGCAGCATGCCAGGGCACGATAACGGGACGTAGACCCTGCCTTCCTCGACGACCACTCCCTTAGGTGACTTCAACACCAGCAGCTGTGACAGGTCTCCAGCAGACAAGTCCTTCGGCAAATCAGCCTGCCACGACTTCACCTCAGCCAAGAAGGCCTCAATTGGAACAGGCTTGGCACTTGAGGCAGTGCCATGCTTCTGCCTCAATCTCTTGACCAGGTTGTGTAGCTGCCCCGAATCGCAGCTGAACTCCAGGCCCGCACGACGCAATGCTTCGCGCAAACTCGGCGTTGTGATAGGCGCTCCAGAGTCAACATGGTCGTTCACCACATCTTGCACCTCTGCTGAAAGTAGCCGACCGCCTTGCGCTAAAGCTTTGCGGTCGTGCTGGCCACGACAATCCACGGTCACTTTCCCCTCGGCTGGACCACTTATCCATACAGCCACACGGGCACGGAAACTGCATCCAGGCTTACATTCAGCACAGGCCCCCCACAACTTGTAGGCCGCATCGCCACCTTCTGTGACTGTCCGCTTTGTTGTAAAAGCAATGCTGCACGGCTTCCGTGCCTTCTGGCACACGCGCCTAGCCAGACTCGTTGCATCCGCGAGGTTCGAGGGCAACACCTCTGCTAAACCGCTGTAGATGTTCTCGTAGTCTGGGTTGCCTGAATCATCCGTCTTGCTGGAGAGCTGCGACTGAGGCCGGCCCTTCGCCGCTGCAGCAAGGCTCGAGGGCTGCGTCGGCATCGGGCTGGGCGCCTGGGGAGACAGCCGGGCCTGCTGGACGATCCTCCGCTCGTCTTGCCCTGAAGCAGTTTGTGACACACACTCCAAAAAGCCTTCGAAGAAGTGTAGTGGAACACCCCATGCGCGGAGTGTGCTTTGTGCTTGCGCTGACATGTTTGTCCACCGGTGTTTGATGAATATTGGCCATGCCTTGGGGCTTGCACGCATAATGCCTATTCCGTGCCGCTCGAGGTGTTGGCAAGTCGAGAGCAGCTTCCTGTACGCGTCCTCGCGCTTGGCCTTGTCCTCGCTGTAGACATGCCGGTACATGGGCACGTACCGGCCGGCACTGTCCGCGAAAACTCTTGCACCGGGTGATGCACGCAGAAGCTTCACGGCGACCTTATTTCACTACTCCTCAAAGCTCTGCAACGTTACACAGTCGCACTATCACTATCCAACACCAACAGCGGTCTCTTGCACGCCCTGGTGCTGCGTCTGCGCCGGAGACCACCTCCTTGTAGGGACCCACTGAACGCCGCACACCTGCACCTTCTCTCGCGCGCCAGCTTGCGCGACTGATGTCCACATCCAACATGTTGAAGCCCCTCGCCAGCCGGCAATGGGTCCACTCCAAAGCCAGCTTTGCAGCGTGGGCATCAATTCTGCGGTCCGAGAAGTCACACGGTCGCTTCTCTGTGAGGCCAGCAATTGCCTCCTGCACCAAGCTCGTCAGCAGACCTGCATGCACTCGTACTTCACTCGCACTGCCCACTACCGACCGAGACAGGCATGTTCCATCATGAAAGTGCTCTGCCCTACCAACCTACGCAAGCTTGCCTTCGTGGGTCCAGAAGTACGACAACTTCTCCAGCATGCTATTGACGGTGCCGCCGTCGGAATAAAAAGCATCTTGCGAAGCCTCGTGCATGGCCCCGCGTGCCTCCTCCAGCGCAGCCTTCGCTGCATCGTCAAGCTTCCATACGAGGTCCCTACCGATCAGAGGCACCTTATGGCCGACATGCAGTACCAATTGCCGGAACAACTGCCCCATGAAATCAACGAACTTGTCGCGGAGGCCCTTGGGGTAGGACAGCTGACTTCCTCGGCGAGCTGCTGAAAAGACGCAACCTCAGACACACTGCAAGTCTTCGCTGCACAACCCTCATCTTTTCAGCGGCTTTCCTGCCTTCTCGCCAAGGCACGATTTGCCAGACCGATCTTGTGCCGTGCTTCACTCGGTGCCCACCACGTGCCCAGGACCGAAGGCTGCTGCAAGAGTACCATTCCAATGTTCGTGCACTCGAAGTGCACCCCACAGTCCTGCCTGTCTTCGTGCCCTGCTATCTTCCGTGCCTTGGTCGGGCGGGCCAGTACATCGGCCTGGGTGTCCCAGTCATACCGACCCCCATGTGCCGCCTCCAGCAGCCGTGTCAAGACTATGTGCGTGTCTTTCGTGAACTTGCCGGACTTCGCATACTCTGGACACAAGAAAGCCGATCCTTCGGCACCGAATATCAGAGCGTGTCCATCGTTTTGCTGCAAGCGCGCGTTGAAAGCTGCGTGGGTGGACTCCGTCACCACATGATGTTCGCACTCAGGAGGACCAGCCATCCACTGCGCCACGTCGCCATGGGCCTCATGTGTCCACTTGAATTTACATTACTTCAGCAACACTCACACCTGCGCAATCTTCCTCCTTGTCTGCGCTCTGCGGATGCTGCCATGGCACGAGTGCGCGGGCGAAGGCTTCCCGCACCGTTTTCAGCACCGGCGACTTTCCGGTGCCGATGTCGGTCACTACTTGGGCCCAGTATCGATGCGACAAAGTGTAGTCACTCCATTCGACACACAGCTTGCGATGCAGCAATGACGACGCAAAGGCTTTGAAGGTCTCCAAAAGCATGTCTGGCGAAAGTGCCACGACTCGTCCGAAGGCTTCCATGAAGACGGAGAGCCGGTAGTCTGTGCTCCACCACAATGGAGTGCACACATCCACCTCCTCTGCTGCTGTCAGGGCACCTTCCCGGACGCCCCGCAGGCCAGCCGCCAAACGCGACAAGCATTGCTGCAGGCTTAACTGATCCACATGGTCGCTGCGAGGTGGCACACCAGCCAGCGCCTCCGAAACTGGTCCCTCGCAAGCTGCCCTCAGAAACCTCACCACATCTTCTTCGAACTGACGCTGTGGATCCTGCTCAAGCCACTCCGTTCCCTCGCACAGGCACTCCAACGGCTTTGCAGCCGAGGGGAGCAGTCCATCTAGACACGCTGCTCCGCCAACACCAGCAGCAGCTGTCTCCGTTCCAGGCGTTGTGCTGAGAGTTTTGCCCGAGTTCTCCAGCTCTAGGCTGTCACTCTGCTTGCTGGCACTGACACTGCTCCCAACAGCTGCGGATGCCTCGATCTTGTTGTCACCATTGCCAGCAATCGCAGCCTGCGCTGCCTTCCCTGCGCCGAAGCGGTTCTCGGCTTGCTCAGGTCTGACCACCGCATTCTCGACACTGATGATCCCCGCTTCTGCTGATGTGCCGCCATCCACCTGTGTGGCCGGCACGTTTTCACATGGACTTGCTGTGCCACCGTGGACCCTCTCCAGGACTGCTACGTACAGGTTCTGTGAGTGGGAATTGACATCAGTATCTCGCATGCCTGTGTCGTCGTAGAGCACCCAGCACGGGTGGCCGCGGCAAAGGAGGGCATAGTAGTGACCTGAAGTCGTGCTTTCGCCGACATGGTGCACCAGGCTGCTGACATGGTACTCTTCGCCTTGCACGAAGACACGACCTGATACCTCCACACGCTGCCCATTCTTCTTTTCCACATAGCAGCCCTCCACCAGCTCGGTATCCCACCGTTTTAGGGTAACCACCAGGATCTCCGGCGACCGCAGGATGCGAAGCCGACGCCATGGTGCTACGCGGCTGGCACATTCTGGACATTGCCATGCTTCACCGTTCACGTGCAGGTCCTCCGGTGCCTCCTGGTTGGCCAGATACTCATCGACCACTTCCTGCAACTGCACATCCTCACTCTTGCCCGGAATGGGCATGAGTGCCTGCGACATCGGCGTTGCCACCCCACTTGCAACCTCCGCGCCGCATTCGCGACACTGCACTTGGAACTGTTCTGTTCCTGCTGTCGCCGTGTCCAACCCAGCCTCACTCAAGATCTGGTTGAGAAATTCTGAGCTGTCCTCCTGCACCCCACGATACCATTGCCGCAGGATGCACTTTGGCTCCACGCACCTGCCACCACGAGCAGCATTCATCATGTCCGTCAGGACCTGACTCAATTGCTGAGCCACCGCGTTCTCTGAGGCGCGCATCGCTCGGCGCCAGGCTGCTGTGTTGAAGAGGGCCTGGAGTGCTGCATTGATGAAGCAGCTGTTGCCCCTGTTGACCAACCCACATAGACCCGCCGCTACTGTGCACTCCTGGAACGGGAGCCAGGTCGTCGGTCCGCTTTTCCGCTGGTATGGGACGGGCTCGGAGAACCCGCACGCCCTCCAGTGGCCACAAGAAAGTTCGGCGATACGGGAGTTGTGTGCATTCGTACCGATGCTCTGGCCCATAGTCACGCAACTCCTCGATGTCCTCTACCTGGAAAGCCTTTCCCACATGTGCCCAAGCACGAATAACACCCTCGCTGCCGAGCCAAGCCCCGCCGGGCTGACACGACACGCTCCGCACCTCCATGGTCTTCTCGCCATCTACCACTTGTTGTAGCCAACCTGCCTGGTACAGCAGGATCCGCTCACCCGGCTGCGGCTGCTTGGTGCCTGTGTTGGCAAGCTGCGACATGGCTCCACTCACTCTCCACGTGCCTTCCTGCACTATACTCCCTGCAAGCCGAGGATTGGTCTCATGCTGATGCACTTGAGCACACCTTCTCCATGCGCAAGAACCGCACCGACGTCTGAATACAGCACATCTATTCCCTTGCCTTCCGGCGCTCGCGCAGCCTGCCGAAGGCCGCCTGCACGGTGCCGCGCCGGCTATTACGGCATGACCCAGCCTGGGGTAAGGTAAAGTGTCCTTCCTCGTGTCGCCGGGTGCGGCTTTTGTTCTTGTCGACGTGGCTATGGCTGTGCTTGCCCTTGACGCTGCTTACTTAGCTGGCGGCTCCTGTGACGCAGCTTCCACCAGCGACGCGAACTCCGGCATCGTGCCTGGGAGTAGCGGTACTATAGGTCCCATCAAGTCGCACTGAGCATCGTTGAATCATAGCAAGGCACGCCCCGCTGCGCGTCTAGTGACGTGACCCGGGTTTCATCACATCGGCGTATCGACATGACTACACGGTCTGTGCGCGAGCGACCGGCACAAGGCACGGTACGCCCAGCCTTGCTTGCACAGTGTTTCCATTTACACGCCAGCACCTGCAGCACAGGCAAAAGAGCATGAACAACGCAATGCTACCAGGATGTCCAGGTTTTGTGGCCAACCTTACTGAGGGCCTTCCTTCTCGCTTTCTGCCGGGGAGATGGCTTCGTAGACTTCCGACCCTGTGGCGGCCATGTCAGCGCCGCTTCCGACTGCATAACTTGCATCCATGATGCCGACAGTGGCTCATCGCAGGGCTCTGAGAGGTAATCCTGCCGCGCGACTGTCACACACAAACAAAGACGGGAAAGCAACAAGACTGCGTGCCTTGTTCACCGTGATGAAACCGACCTGAGCAAACAGCCGGCGCATGAATGATCTCGGTCATTCGTCCCTGCTGCAGGCGTCCACCGTAATTGTGTGAGACTCCGACAGGAGCTTGCACAGGACCCATGGAGATCCAGATATTTCTTCGCGTCCTCCTGCTAAGCGCGGGCCAAACAACTGGCATCGTAGAGACATCTCGGCATGCTTACGCGTTCCTGCGCAAAACATGAGTCCTCCGTCTTCATATCTGCCCAACTTTTTCGGTTGGACCACGCGTTCGCCATCCCAAACCTGGGTGACACGATGACTCAGCGAAGAACACGGAATCAACTCGCACTCAATCTAAGAGCCCCGAGCAGGATCTTATGGCAACACTCAGGCAGCTGTCGATCCGCCGTTGTCGATCCGCCCGAGGAGCAAGCAGCCACGTCTCGGGCCAAGAGCTGCAGCAATGCCCTGTCAAAAGGTAAGGCTGATAAACACCCCACATTGCCTAACCTGGGTCTATGTCCCCATCATAGATCCCACAACTGCCGCAATCAAAGCGTTCATCACAGGTCATTGCTGCAATGTGTGGCTCCGAGACCGCACCTCCGATTGCCTGTCTGGTTCACGTACCACGTGCATGCATCCATGCTTGCTGCTCATGGTTCTGGCAAAGTACGATCTACAGCTGTGCGCCGACGTGAACTCCGTGGATGGAGCCTTGGACTGATTTGGGCTGATAAGTACCCCACAGTGCCTGACCTGGGTCTATGTCGCCATCATAGATCCCACAAATGCCGCAATCAAAGCGTTCATCAGAGGTCATTCCTGCAATGTGTGGGTGTACGACCATGCCTCCAATTGCCTTGTCTGATTCACCTACCACATGCATGCATCCATGCTTGCTGCTCATGGTTCTAGCCAAGTACGATCTACGGCTGTGCGCCTGTATACAAGGAAACTCCTGCCTTGCCCTGTAGGCCAGTACCTCTGTAAAGGTCTACACGCCCAGGCTACATCAACTCACCCACAGGTTTCCCTTTGAGGGACTGGCACATTGCCTGCAACTAGCGGCAGAAAGCAGCACAAACGGACGTCGAGCTACTAGGACTTACAATTTGCACGGCTTGGTTTCGCATCAAGCCAAAGGGCAAAGATAATGTGCAGAGCTTCCTGTCGTGCTAAGCGAGTCAGGACTGTTGATTACCAGAGAAAGAGAGAGAGAGAGAGAGAGAGAGAGAGAGAGAGAGAGAGAGCGAGAAATAGAGAAACAGAGAGAGAGAGGGGAGACTGAGAGAGAGAGAGAGAGAGAGAAAGGCGAGAGAGAAACAGAGAGAGACTGAGAGAGAGAGAGAGGGAGAGAGAGGACGAGAGAGAGAGAGAGAGAGGAAGATGGAGAGAACGACAGAGAGGCAGAGAGAAAGAGGAAGAAAGAGCGGAGGTGAGGGAGGACGAGAGAGAGAGAGAGAGAGAAAGAGCTCAAAGGAGAGAGAGAGAGAGAGAGAGACAGAGAGAGGGAGAGAGAGAGAGAGAGAGCGCGAGCAAGGAGGAGATGGAGACAGAGACCCCGACAGAGACGGAAAGGCAGACGGCCCAGAGACAAGGGCAGGGCAAAGAAAGCAGAAAACACAGACAGAAGCACAGCAGAGACAGACACAAAGAGAGAGAGAGGGAGGGAGAGAGGGGAGAGAGAGAGAGAGACGGGGACGACAGAGACAGAGAGAGCGAAAGGAAAAAAGAGAGGAAGAGAGTGCGGGACAGAGAGAGACGCGAAGCGAGAGACGCAACAGGGAGAGAGAGAGAGAGAGAGAAAAAAAAAAAGGAGAGAAGAGAGAGGGAGAGAAAGAGAAAAAGAGAAGAGAGAGAGAAACGGAAACGGCGACAGAGACCGAAACACAGACAGACGGAGACGAAGGCGGAAACAGGGACAGCGACAGAGAAAGCCCAAGACACAAGGACAGGGGCAGGGAAAGAGACGGAGGGAGAACAGGCGAGAGGGAAGAGAGAAAGAAAGACAAAGAGAGACAGCGAAGAGGAAGAGCGAGAGAGCCAGAGAGCCAGAGAGAGAGTGAGACAGAGATAGAGGGTGAGAGACATAACATAACATAATGTGAAGTAACATACACCGCAATAGAGTACAATACCGTAGCGTACCATACATCAAGACATACATACAGACCGCAAGCATGCATGCATACATACACACGTAGACACACACAGACACAGATGCGTATAGACATACATAATGACAGAAATACAAGCATACTATACATGCATATACACAGACACGGCCATACGTGCGTACGCATGTACGTACGTCCATACATAGCACAACCTGTCACAACATAGCCTAACTTAAACATGAGAGAAAGCATAGTTATAACATAACATACAACAACGTAGAGTACCGTGCCGCTGCATTTCTAGATACACACATACATTTTTGTCATTCGCTCTCGACATACATACATACAGACATTCATGCACACATACATGCATACATACATACATACATACATACGCTAACATACGACAACATACAGACACGCATACACACATGCCCGCGCAAAGTCGCACACCAGGGATGATGAGCCGCAGTATAATATGCTAGAGTGTATTCTATGCGGTAATGTCATACCTAATAAACCTTTGCATAGGTGTTGCTACCCTGCATACTGTGTCAACTTGCATCGTATGTTCTTGCGCGATGCTATCTTACCCACGCATATGCTCTGTGGTACGCTACACATGCACACATCTATGCATACACCACGCACGCAATGCATCCAAAAGCAGACCCCGTGATGTACAAACAACCGTGAACAAGGAGCAAAAAAGGCAGGACGCCATGCGAGTTACCGTTGCACTCACCGCAGCCACGGAAAGGCAACAACAACATCGAGAAAAATTAGGGTGCGGCATGGTGAGGTAGAGGCAACACTTCTGTTTGGGGTCGTTTTTCGTCAATGACACGGAATAGCTTTCGCTGCATTTTCCGGCGCATATTGGCAACACGATCAACGGCTTGGTAAGAGCTGGAAGCAAGCAGAACGCCCTAAAAAGACGTAGTTTTCGGCAAAAAAACGCTACTGCCGGCCTAGGTATTTTTTTCCGAAGTGCATTTTTTCCTGATTTCTGGCCCCAAAGACCGCAAAAGAGCTTTTTTCGACCATGAACCCACTTTTTGCATGGCTATGGAAAACCTAGGGTTTGAGCTCGACAGCCAAAGGCCGAAAATCCGTAGCAGGTATGCGTATCCCTCAAAACAAGATCTGATGTCCGACATTTTGTCAAACACCACAGAAGCAACAAAACCCGATTTTGCATTTGCTTTCAAAACCTAGGCCCTTGCAGGGTTTTGTATGCCCGCTGCGCTCTGCTCCGCCACGAGAAAAGGCAGCTGGGGCGAGTCTGCCCGGGGATGCTTAAAGACAAAGTCCGGAGGCTCAAACAGGCCATAAAGGTACATTCAAGAAAATCTCACCCTTTTTCCATGGCTATTGAAAACCTAGGGTTTGAGCTCGACAGCCAAAGGCCGAAAATCCGTAGCAGGTATGCGTATCCCTCAAAACAAGATCTGATGTCCGACATTTTGTCAAACACCACAGAAGCAACAAAACCCGATTTTGCATTTGCTTTCAAAACCTAGGCCCTTGCAGGGTTTTGTATGCCCGCTGCGCTCTGCTCCGCCACGAGAAAAGGCAGCTGGGGCGAGTCTGACCGGGGATGCTTAAAGACAAAGTCCGGAGGCTCAAACAAAGAAAATCTCACCCTTTTTCCATGGCTATTGAAAACCTAGGGTTTGAGCTCGACAGCCAAAGGCGGAAAATCCGTAGCAAGCATGCGTATCCCTCAAAACAAGATCTGATGTCCGAGATTTTGTCAAACACCACAGAAGCAACAAAACCCGATTTTGCATTTCCTTTCAAAACCTAGGCCCTTGCAGGGTTTTGTATGCCCGCTGCGCTCTGTTTCGCCACGAGAAAAGGCAGCTGGGGCGAGTCTGACCGGGGATGCTCAAAGACAAAGTCCAGATCCTCAAACAGGCCATAAAGGTACATTCAAGAAAATCTGGACCCTTTTTCCATGGCTATTGAAAACCTAGGGTTTGAGCTCGACAGCCAAACGCGGAAAATCCGTCGCAAGTATGCGTATCCCTCAAAACA